CAAAATGGTATAGTTTGAGGCCATGTGGCGGAGAGTGATGCGGGAGCTGGAGATGGGTGTGTGAGCAGGTGGGTTTGGGCGTGTGTTAGGTCATTGATATTTGTGTGCGTCTGTATGCTGTTGTTTGTATGTGTATGTTTTGTATTGTAAAACACATTCAAAAATTCTAAAAGAGAAAGTATATACAAAGGGTCATTTCCAGATTCAGTGCCATTACCATATTTACAATGTGCAGCGATCCTGGAGTGGTAGGGTTAGATATGTACAGGGGTAAGGTGACTAGGCATCAGGATATATGACAAACAGAATAGCAGCAGCATATATGATGATTGTCAAATAAAATAAAATCTAATTTTATTTGCCACATGCGCCGAATACAACAGGTGCAGACATTACAGTGAAATGCTTACTTACAGCCCTTAACCAACAGTGCATTTATTTTTTAATAAAAAAGTTAAATAAAACAACAACAAAAAAATGTTGAGAAAAAAAGTAACAGTAGGGAGGCTATATATACAGGGGGGTACCGGTGCAGAGTCAATGTGCGGGGGCACCGGCTAATTGAGGTAGTTGAAGTAATATGTACATGTGGGTAGAGTTAAAGTGACTATGCATAAATAATTAACAGAGTAGCAGCAGCGTAGAAAGATGGGGTCGGGGTGGGGGGGACAATGCAAATAGTCCGGGTAGCCATGATTAGTTGTTCAGGAGTCTTATGGCTTGGGGGTAGAAGCTGTTGAGAAGTCTTTTGGACCTAGACTTGGCACTCCGGTACCGCTTGCCGTGCGGTAGCAGAGAGAACAGTCTATAACTAGGGTGGCTGGAGTCTTTGACAATTTTGAGGGCCTTCCCCTGACACCTCCTGGTATAGAGGTCCTGGATGGCAGGAAGCTTGGCCCCAGTGATGTACTGGGCCGTACGCACTACCGTCTGTAGTGTCTTGCGGTCGGAGGCCGAGCAGTTGCCATACCAGGCGGTGATACAACCACTCAGGATGCTCTCGATGGTGCAGCTGTAGAATTTTTTGAGGATTTGAGGACCCATGCCAAATCTTTTCAGTCTCCTGAGGGGGAATAGGCTTTGTCATGCACTCTTCACGACTGTCTTGGTGTGTTTGGACCATGATAGTTCATTGGTGATGTGGACACCAAGGAACTTGAAGCTCTCAACCTGTTCCACTACAGCCCCGTCGATGAGAATGGGGGCGTGCTCAGTCCTCTTTTTTTTTGCTGTAGTCCACAATCATCTCCTTTGTCTTGGTCACGTTGAGGGAGAGGTTGTTATCCTGGCACCACACGGCCAGGTCTCTGACCTCATCCCTATAGGCGGTCTCATCGTTGTCGGTGATCAGGCCTACCACTGTTGTGTCATCGGCAAACTTAATGATGGTGTTGGAGTCGTGCCAGGCCATGCAGTCATGGGTGAACAGGGAGTACAGGAGGGGACTGAGCACGCACCCCTGAGGGGCCCCCGTGTTGAGGATCAGTGTGGCCGGTGTGTTGTTACCTACCCTTACCACCTGGGGGCGGCCCATCAGGAAGTCCAGGATCCAGTTGCAGAGGGAGGTGTTTAGTCCCAGGATCCTTAGCTTAGTGATGAGCTTTGAGGGCACTATGGTGTTGAATACTGAGCTGTAGTCAATTAATAGCATTCTCACGTAGGTGTTCCTCTTGTCCAGGTGGGAAAGGGCAGTGTGGAGTGCAATAGAGATTGCATCATCTGTGGATCTGTTGGGGCGGTATGCAAATTGGAGTGGGTCTAGGGTTTCTGGGATAATGGTGTTGATGTGAGCCATGACCAGCCTTTCAAAGCACTTCATGGCTACAGACGTCAGTGCTACGGGTCGGTAGTCATTTAGGCAGGTTATCTTAGTGTCCTTGGGCACAGGGACTATGGTGGTCTGCTTGAAACATGTTGGTATTACAGACTCAGTCAGGGACATGTTGAAAATGTCAGTGAAGACACTTGCCAGTTGGTCAGCACATGTTCGGAGTACAAGTCCTGGTAATCCGTCTGGCCCTGCGGCCTTATGAATGTTGACCTGCTTAAAAGTCTTACTCACATTGGCTACGGAGAGCGTGATCACATAGTCATCCGGAACAGCTGGTGCTCTCATGCATGCTTCAGTGTTGCTTGCCTCGAAGCGAGCATAGAAGTGGTTTAGCTCATCTGGAAGTCTTGTGTCACTGGGCAGCTCGCGGCTGTGCTTCCCTTTGTATGCAAGTATGTGTGCGTGTGTAGTCAGTATGAGTGTGTGAGCAAATTAAGTGTGTGTGTGTGTGTGTGTGTGTGTATATGTGTTGGAGTGTCAGTGTGAGTGAGTGTGTAGAGTGTGCATACAGACAGTGCAAAAATAAACAATAAAATAGAAGGGTCAATGCAGATAGTCCATGTAGCCATTTTGTTAGCTATTTACCAGTCTTATGGCTTGGGGATAGAAGCTGTTCAGGAGGCTGTTGGTGTCAGTCTTGATGCTCCGGTACTGCTTGCCGTGCAGAAGCAGAGAGAACAGTCGATGGCTTGTGTGGCTGGAGATATAACCATTTTCCGGGCCATCCTTTCACACCGCCTGATATAGAGGTCCTGGATTGCAGGGAGCTCGGCCCCCCCTTGATGTACTGGGCTGTCCGCACCACCCTTTCCACATCAGATCTTTTAACATCAGATCTTTTTCAGAGCTGATCTGATTGGTCAAAAGACCAATTAGTGAAAAAATGCAGCAGTAGAAGAGGAAATTGTCAGCCCTGTTCTTTCTTTTTCTATCTGCAACATTCAGAACGTTTCACACCACTGAATACAGTTACACAGTAAAGTCTCTCTGACACAGGAGGCTGCTGATGGGAGGACAGCTCATAATAATGGCTGGAATGGAGTTAATTAAATGGTATCAAACACGTGCTTTCCATGAGTTCATGAGTTTGATACCATTCCATTAATTCTGTTCCAGACATTACTATGAGCCCGTCCTCTCCAATTAAGGTGCCTCCAACCTCCTTGCTCTCTGAGCCGACTCATGATAAATGGTTTCTTCTCTGTGAACGTTCTCCCTCTGGTGAACATTGGAAGGATTTTGCAGAACATAATTTTAACTTTCGACATTCCTTTAAAATTAAAAAGTAAAACTAAACCAAGTCTGTCATCCAATTCTCTGCCCTCTCTGGATTTAAAATCATATGATTGGTGTGGATTGAGTTTCCACCATGTGATAAAGTGTGCAAGTGCACACTACTTGAACACTTTGGGAGAAGGGTAGAAAATCAGTATGCAGCCTACAAGACAAGAAAAGTACAAGAGACCCTGATAATGGAATAGTACAATTCTTTATGCATTTCATTCTGTAATACATTACATACAATTTGTACAGTGCATTGTCAATGCAATACATTAGTAGAACAGTTTGGTTGCTACAGCATGAAATATCAATTTAAAAAACGAACACATAAACAAAAACATCAACGTAACAAAGACATATAATGAGATGTGGGATAACAGGCATGACAGGCAATGTGCGTGTTTGAAACCAACTACATTGCAGTCCTCCTCTAGGTGGTGCCACAGGGCTGCCATCACATGCCCATAACAACAGGTACTGTTGCCTGGGTTATGTTCAGTAGGCACGAAATGGAATAAAAGTCCCAGAAAAGGAGTGAAATGGGAAGGTTCTATCTGGCTTATTTGCATTTTTTCTGTTGCAAAACATCCTGCTACAGTGTGCCCTAATGAACATGGCCCAGTTCAATCTGCAGTTCAAACCTAGTCGACTACAATGTGAGTAGTGAATACCACCTATAACCTGGCCCTAAAGTCAGCCTGGTTAACCCAGACTTAACACTGAAGTGTTGACAATGGTGAGTGCAGTGTTCAGTCTGGTTCAACCAGGCTACTACAGTCAGGTTCTTCTGGATCAAAGAAAGAGACTCATTCGAATAAGGCCCCAAACGCTGAATGTCTGACCACAGCATTCATACACCATAGGGTTGCAAAATTACAGTAACTTTAGGTTTTTCTGGTTGAAGGACTGCCGGAATCAGAAGGGCATAAGCAGGGATTCCGTAATTTTCCAACCAGGATTTCTGGAAAACCTAGGAATTTTGGGATAGTTACCAGAATTTTGCAAACCTAATAGACCATAAAAAAATAACTGCAAATGTCAGGACACTTGGCTTCTTATCGGCTTGCTAGCTACAGCCATACATTTCATGGTAATGCCGTGCTTCCAATAGAGATGCTACTAAGGCTGTAACTTCGTAAGGAAAGTGAAGAGTTGGGGCTGAAATGTTTAGCCTTAGGTAAAAACTTTTTCTGTGCACTTGGATGGGTTGGACTACCATATTTTGACATTTTGTACATTCAGTCACTGAAAGAGAATGCTACAATGGAACCATCAATTGGCAATTGGGAACCTCTGCTATAGTTGGAGCCTTTCACAGTTTTTGGTCTTTATAATCATCTTTCAGCCAGCTACCAGTGTAGGGCTACCCAACTGTCTTAACATAACATACTTTTCGTTCTTTCTGAAAATTGACACTAGACAAACTCATTCTCTCTCTACTCAATGTAACTCCTCCCTTTCTCTATATCTCCTTACTTCCTCTACACCTCTCTCCTTACCGCCGCCTCTCTCTACCTCCTTCCTATCTTTCTGGTGAATGTCTGTAGTTAAAGCAGAACTGTGTCTGTGATGGGTTCCAGGGAAAGTATAAACCTACCTGGCTTCTTATTGGCTATGGAGCGGGAGAGGGGAAGAGCTTTACTGGCTGATGAAACAGGAGTAAGGCAGAGGTTTTTGGACGATGCTCTTCTCCTCCTCTTTCTCTCTTATACTCCTCTACTTGGCCTTTGTCTCTCCACTCTTCAGTCTCTCAATCTGGTTCGTTCCTCCTATCAATTCTTCCTTTCTCCTCTTCCTCTCTTCTCCTCCTACCCTATCCATTCTTCCTCCCTCCTGAATCTCCTTCATTCCCCCTCTTGCATCCTCTTCTACTTGGCCTCCTCCTCCTCTACCACCAGGTAAAGAAGGGTTTCCTGCTCTGGAAGCTCTGTGTGTAGGACTCACTGTTGGCTCTCTGTGGTGCTCTGGCTGTCTCCACTATGACTGGGGGCATCTGAACCAGGTGTAGCGGAGTCTTACTCTCCTTCAGGGCCTGGCTCAGGTTCAGGATCTGGTGGTAGAGACATATAGTTTCAGCATAGGTTTACACAAACAGACACACACACACACACACACACATGCATTTACATAATCAAGATCTGGTGACAGAAACATACAGAGCTTCAGCATAACTTAGCATACGCACACGCCCACATGCACACGTACAATTTCACACACACTCAGGGTAACAGTCTGACAACATAAAGACAAATACTGACACTGTCCAGGTATTCCCCCAACAACGCACCTGTCCTCTCATCACAGCTATCTGTTTGTGGAACTGCCCTCTATCAAAACCTGGATCCTTCTGTAGGATACACACAACACAACTTTACTTAAATAATGCTGGCATGATGCAGTCAGTGTTGTGAGGATGACAGAATATAACTTTGTTGTGACTTCAAGGCCATAAAAAATATATATATTGGTCCCAGATATGTTTGTGCTGTCCATAGGAATTGGTAGAACTGCAAAAACAGATCTGCGACCAGGCAAATGAAACCCCCTGCTAACCTTAAAGAGTTCGTAGAGGTCTTCCTCCAGGTCTTTGATGAAGTTGGGGTCGGCCAGTTTGGGCAGAACCAGGTCCCTAATCTCCTGAGAGAAAGGAACCTTAGCCTGGGACAGCCACACCCAGTAGAATGGATCTACACAGAGGAGGAATAAAGTAGTTTGTTTGTGTTCCTCTCTCTGTGTCTCTCTGTGTGTGTGGTTTGTGAGACTCACAGGCTCTCCATGAGTCGGGGTGTTTGATTGGGAAGGCCAGGCCGTTGTCTATGGCTGCCAGTCTGATGATAGGCTCCTTTACCACCACCCAGTCGGTGTCCTACACAAAGAAACACACACAGACAGACAGACAGACAGACAGACAGACAGAAAAAAAGAAAGGAAAACATTCTAGTTTCCCATATTTTTTTTGAAGTTCCTATAAAACTAATGCTGCAGGTTGAAATCTCTAGGTTTAAATAATATTTTATTAGTCTACTCACCCGTTTCCCTTCCATGTCCATTGGACAGTCATATTTTAACAGCCAGTTGTCGTTCCCCCGATCTGCAAGTGTCAACAGCATCATCATTAAGCTACAATAAATCAAATTCAGCCATACATCCTCCCCACTACACACACACCTGTGTTCCTGATGATGAAATACAGAACCACCAGTTTCTCTATGCACGCACACATGAATCACACACACACCTGTGTTCCTGATTATGTAATCGAGGACCACCAGTCTCTCGAACTGAAGCTGCAGCTGCCGATTGGTGTTCTCTTGAAGAGGCTCCGCCTCAAACCGTCTCAGCCAATAGTCTGCGTCTTTGTAGCCCTCCACAAACAACTGGAAGGATCCCACCTGAGCCATGTGTGAAATGTATTATGTATAAGCATTATTCTAAGACATTATAAAGGCTTATACATGCTTATAATACGTTTTAAATGATTATACCTGCAGGATTTAAGTGTTACAATATTATTTACTTTCAGGGCAGTGTTCTTCAACTCTGGTCCTGTGGACCCATGGGGTGTGCAGGCTTTTGTTCTAGCCCAGCACTAGAACACCTGATTCAATTAATCAACTGCTCCTGGAGCCGTTGGTTGGTAAGAATTAGTCAACAACACTACGAGGCATGAATTGTTGTCTAAACTTTAAAGCAGATACAGAAATCACCAGGGTCGTGTTCATTAAAGCACACTGTAGCAAAACGTTTCTAAACGTTGTACAGTGAAAAACTAAATGAGTGTTTCTTATTGGACAAGTTCAGGTAGTACCTTACTGTTTTGGACTGTTTTCTCCAGTTTCATGCCTAATGAACAGGACCCAGTTGTAGGTTCTGAACCCCAGGCAGAAGTCCTACCTACCTTAGGAGGGAGGCCTATTCTGTGGAAGCGCTGTCCCACTTTGGGAACTTTCTCCAGAGCTAGCCTCTTTCCCCGAGACTTGACTCTGTCTATAGCATTGTAGTTAAACGTATCACTGGCCAGGTACACCACCTAAAGGAAGGAAGAAAGGAAGAAAGAAAGAGAGAGAGAGAAAGAAAGAGCGAGAGATAAGAGTCAATTATTAGCACATCCTTTGTGTGTGTGTGTGTGTGTGTGTCTGCTAGAGCTGGGCAATATGGACAAAAATCCATATCACAATAAATTGCCTGAATTGTCACGATAACGATACATTGAACAATAATTTTATGATATTAATAAGCATCACTTACTTGTTTATATTACCCTTAAAACTACTCCTCCTGCTGCTTTGAATGTTATTATTATTAATATTATTATTATTAAGTCCTGTTAGCAATAACCCATATTAGCAGACTTAGGCCTACTTAATTTCAAACTTTACATTCCTCTAGTAAAGGCTACTTGACTACGTTATTATCGATAAATTGTTGGTTTGTTCGGTGTCGATAATTGTCGGTTTATAATCCCAGCTCTAATGTCTGCCTGTAACCCTTCCTACCTTGGTCCGCGGCACAATATTGAGCTCTAGTTTTTGGTCGACCAGACTGGCCCCGGCCTCAGACAGATAGCCCTGGTTCAGGACCAGACAGTCCCGTCCGAAGCAACAGGGACAACACAGCTTCTGGAGCCACTTGGTCCACTTTGGGTTCAGCTGACCGTACGGCTCCTCGGTCTTAGGCTTGAACACACCGATGACCTTCTACACACACAGACAGACAGACAGATTATTATTGGTACTTGTTACACGCTACTAATATTCTTTACTTGTAGCGTGAGAGAGAGAGAGAATAATGCATCTAACATGATCCTATAGCTATGAAAAATGAAATAGTAAAACATCATATGTAACTCATTAGGCTGTCTCCCTTTTTTATGGAGTATTTCATGCAAAGCATATTTCTGCACAATAAAATACAATCTCATCTGAAACCACACTGCAGTTTTAAAGGAGTACAAAGTTCGACAGAACACAGTGGCTCACTCTCACTCCTCTACTATTTTTAGATTTCAACCCAAATCTTCACGACACACTAATGATGTTGGTTCATCTCAAAAGGCACACTGTTACTGTGTACAAAGACTGCTCAGGAGGATCATATCATGTGGTAAACAAAGCTAAATGACTAAAATGTAAATGTAAAATGTAAATGTAAAATCTGACCCTAGATCTGTGCCAACAGGCAACGTCTACCCTGTCCCTCTTCTAACCATGACAGCCCCCTCAGTCCTTATAATCCATAAAAGGTGAGTGATGATGTCAGAGGAAGTGACATCACACAACATCTGCCATCAGAGGGTGATTCATGGTACAACAGAACCTGCAGGCTGGGGCTAACGAGCTGGAATGGGAATGGTTTCGCAACCCATTAAAAGTCAATCAGATTAACTTAAGTTTCCTCACATGATTCACTGTGGAGGGAGCAGCACAGAGACTGAGGCTAGCTTTTTATTCTATGGGTACGTTCCAGGTCGTTTTAAATGCAGTTTCGCTGGCTGTGCCAGATGATGAGATCTCACAACACCTGGATAAGTGTTTAGCATCTCTGGAACCACATTTATATGGTTTAGCAATCTTCTCATGTGTTAAGAGTGGGATCTGGACCCCAGTCTCCCACAATGCCATAACTATTAGACCAAGAGTAAATTCCCTCTTGGGCTGAGGGTGACACTGATTTGTGAAGTAGCAGGCAGGGCTACCTCAACATGAAAGCGTGACTCCGTCTCGCCTCCGCTACATATGGGTGACTCCTCACGAAAGAGATTTAATCCATAGAATGGTCCTTTTGGAGGAAGGACTGTTGACATATATTTTACATTTGTATCTTAAAGCATAACTGAGAAATAATTCATTGAAGTTGTAATATTTGTGACATTTTGCCAGAATGGGAAATCATAGTCACAAACCCACATTGGGTCACCTGCTACTAATTTGAAGGTGTGTCCACGTACTTTTGGCCATGTAGTGTATGTGTCATGGTATGGTGGGGTATGAAAAATGGGTCAACTTTGATGTTTTGGCATTCAGGTCCAAAAAGTCACTTTCTAACCACTTCTTCCATGGGCAAACATGTATGGAAAGTTGTCTAAATCAAAAGAGATGCTGTCAAAAAGTCATTGATTTCAAATGGATTTAGCCAGAGGAAACATTATGTTAAAGGAGGCCTGGATAAGGACAAAATGTCACAAATATTCCAAATTCAATTAATTATTTCTCAATTATACTCTAAGATACAAATGCCAAATAAATGTCAATAATCCTTCCTCGAAAGGACCTTCCACGGGTTACATTTGGTGAAAACCCCAAAAAATAATGGTATTGTTTTGTCCTAGTTTCGTGAGGAAACACCCATGACTGCAGTAAAGATGCCCTGGAACGCAGCCTATGTAACCTTGGCTGAGGCAGTGCCTGGTAATAAGGTTATATCTGTTGTCTAAAATAGTTCACTGGTCCATAGGAGAGTAAAATAACTGTTTATTGAGCATGTTCAATTGAGAGACCGGAGAGAGAGAAGGAAAGAGTGAGAGACTACATAATCCAGGGAGAGAGAGAGAGAGAGAGAGAGAGAGAGAGAGAGAGAGAGAGAGAGAGGCTAGGGAATGGAAATGGAGTGGCCATCTTCTTCAAAGAGTGTGAGGATGCTTATTACTAGGCATACCTCTGGAGAGAAAATGGAGGCCCTTAAGCCATTCAGATTGCTAGTACATGACTTCTCCTGAGTTACGACATCTTCACACAGATAGTAGCCTACATGGTACACAAACACAGAGTAAGCAAAATTGATTTTCTATGGGTAAAAAAAAAAAAGACTCCGACATGTCTAGGGCCGATCTTACTTACATGTGAACAATGCATAGAATGTCTGTACAATTCTCTCCCAGCCTGCCTTACATAAAGGCCTCCTGTATAACAGTATGTCTCAACCTTTTCTATACAGGGAAGGCAGCAAATTACAATTAGCTTAGGCCTGAGAACTGATAGTGACAGCTAATCTCTTTGAGAGATTGGGCCTGTTTGCACTTTGCACCACGCTTGTGTTAGAAGTTGCCCCAAGGCACATCTAGGATTTTACAAGGTCTCTATCCTTAGACCAGTGTCTGGGGGCAACTTCTTTATATTTGAGATGCCGCCAAGTCACACTCCCAGCCTGGCATGGTGGAACTACACTGAACAAAAATATAAACGCAACATGAAACAATTTCAAAGATTTTACAGTTACAGTTCATATGAGGAAATCAGTCAATTGAAGTAAATTCATTAGGCCCTAATCTATGGATTTCACATGACTGGGAATACAGATATGCATCTGTTGGGTCACAGATAGGCGTGGATCAGAAAACCAGTCAGTATCTGGTGTGACCACCATTTGCCTCATGCAGCGCGACATCTCCTTTGCATAGAGTTGATCAGGCTGTTGATTGTGACTTGTGGAATGTGTCCCACTCCTCTTCAATGGCTGTGCAAAGCTGCTGGATATTGGCGGGAATTGGAACACGCTGGCGTACATGTTGATCCAGAGCATCCCAAACATGCTCAATGGGTGACATGTCTAGTGAGTATGCAGGCCATGGAAGAATTGGGACATTTTCAGCTTCCAGGAATTGTGTACAGATCCTTGCGACATGGGGCCGTGCATTATCATGCTGAAACATGAGGTGATGGTGGCAGATGAATGGCACGACAATGGGCCTCAGGATCTCGTCACGGTATCTCTGTGTATTCAAATTGCCATCGATAAAATGCAATTGTGTTTGTTGTCCGTAGCTTATGCCTGCTCAAACCATAACCCCACCACCACCACCAACACGGGGCACAATGTTCACAACATTGACATCAGCAAACCACTTGCCCACACAACGTCATACACGCTGCCTGCTATCTGCCCGGTACAGTTGAAACCAGGATTCATCCGTGAAAAGCACTCTTCTCAAGCGTGTCAGTGGCCATCGAAGGTAAGCATTTGCCCACTGAAATCAGTTATGACTCCAAACTGCAGTCAGGTCAAGACCCTGGTGAGGACGACGAGCACGCAGATGAGCTTCCCTGAGACTGTTTCTGACAGTTTGTGCAGAAACTCTTCGGTTGTGTAAACCCACAGTTCCATCAGCTGTCCAGGTGGCTGGTTTCAGACGATCCCGCAGGTAAAGAAGCCGGGTGTGGAGGTCCTGGGCTGGCGTGGTTACACGTGGTCCGTTGATGTGAGGCCGGTTAGACATACTGCCAACTTCTCTAAAACGACGGAGGCGGCTTATGGTAGAGAAATTAACATTAAATTATCTGGCAACAGCCCTGGTGGACATACCTGCAGTCAGCATGCCAATTGCACACACCCTCAAAACTTGAGACATCTGTGGCAAAACGGCACATTTTAGAGTGGCCTTTTATTGTGCACCTGTGTAATGATCATGCTGTTGAATCAGTTTATTGATATGCCACACCTGTCAGGTGGATGGATTATCTTGGCAAAGGAGAAATGCTCACTAACATGGATGTAAACAAATTTGTGCACAACATTTGAGAAAATTGAAAATTTCGGGGATCTTTTATTTTACCTCATGAAACATGGGAACACTTTACATGTTGCGTTTATATTTTTGTTCAGTATACATACCGTATCTACTATATGGCAAAGTCTACCAGGGCTAGAAACAAACCACCATGTGTAAATTGCTCACCTCAAATGCTACATCACCCAAAAATCAACACTGCAGATACATGCTGGAACTCAATACAGAACATGATGACATCACTGCACTGTCAGGGCTAGAATGAGCAACAGCAGGTTGCCAGAGCAGACAGACAGTAAGCTAAATCATGTGACGGTGTTGCTGCATGAAACTGAATTACATGACTTACTTGAAAACAAAGGGCATTTTAAAACATGACAGAGATGGCATCCTCTCCCTATCCGTCTCCCTCCCTGTTTATCTGTCTGTATTTTTACATCTCTCACTCTCCCTCTGCCCCTCTAGAAAGAAAGACCATAGTAACTAGAAGCTTGTCTATCTCACCCCTTGAGAGTCTTTGACGAAGTAGCTACCACTGGATCCTTGGCAGATCCTCTCTGGAAAGATCTCTTCTTCAATGGCTTGTTCTGCTTTCCTCACGATCTCCCTAAATTCTGGGTCGTCCGGAAACTCATTCCTGTGTGGATCCCGCGGAGAGTTCCCTCTGTCCCGGTCCAAAAGCGGCTGTCTCTCCCGGCTACGTCCGGGGCTCCCAGCCGACACTCGCACAACAGAACCCGGCGTTCTCGGACTGGTGGCATCGCTCTGGCAGTAGTTGTAATCTATTGAGTCCTGGAGAGGGGAAACGAGGGGGCTCGTTTCGTCCATCCCAAAGTGGGGTATTCCAAGGGTCGGCGAATGGACAGATAGGAGCCAGGATGAGGGACTCAGACGCGTTGTTTCTACGCTGTTGTTTCAACGCTGCTGATTCTGGCCTTCGGCAAGCTTTCAAACAAAACAGCGTCGTTTTCCGCGTAAAGACACGCCTACTTTGAATAGAGACTCGCGATTGGCGCTTTCCCTGCCCAGCCTCCTAGATGTACCGCCCCATGTCCAATGCTGCGTTTCTAACCAAGTGAGACAGTGGCAATTACCAGTTGTGAAGTCTTAAATACCAGTTCATCCATTCACGTGCTTTGAACTCGTTGAGAAACGCTGCGTCAACCATAAACTAAAAGTACAGCTTTCATGCTTGTAAACAAAGTGTTCAAAAACCATATTAATAGATTTTTATAAATAATGTTTTGTAGTTGCATTTAACCACCGAAAATGCTGTTATCAAGGTCATTTCCTTAGTAGGTGACCTCAGAGGTCAGCATGTGGGAGAAGTCAGAGCTCATGGGTGATACAGGAGTTTCCCACCAGTAATTGCCAGTTAGAGGGGCGTTCAAGTGGATTTTTCCCAGACATATGTGGTTATGAACTGCCAGGTCGCAGTTGTAAATGAGAACTTGTTCTCAACTGGCTTACCTGGTTAAATAAAGGTGAAATAAAATAAAAATAAAAATGTTGAAGTGTGGTTGGGAGGGGGGAATCTGGTAATAGTGAACTTTTACAACCTGTGAAAACTGATCAGAGTTGTGGTAAAAATACTATCTTGCTGTTGGTTTGAGTTAGGGCTATCATGGTGGTGTGTCCATTCAAACACAGATGGTGGTAAGCAGTTCAAAGGGCTGTTGCCTGGTTTATTACTTCAGTTGAATTGTTGAAGATAATGATAACAAGGTTGAGGATGTAAGGATTGGATGGTTAACTAGGAAACAAAAACATACATGGTAGTCATTTCATATAAACCAAATGCAGATAAACAAATATACTCATGAATCTCAATAACATTAAAATAATATTACAGTGAAAAAACTTTGGCAATAGGTTTAAACATGAGTAAAGGACATGTTCTCCAAATTCTAATATAAATTAAGAAATAAACACATCCAAAACACACAAAGGGAAGGGTTACAACAAAAAAGGTGTCTAGTAACAAAACACTTGGTAAGGTCTGCCACACTGATTAGTGACAGATGAGGGTATTTAAAGGTGGTGAAGGGGCTGGAGTCCCACCTCTGCTGGAGGGGGATTGGAAAGGGGATGGTGGTTGGTGATAGGGTGAGGGGACTGTCGGTCAGGGTAGGGGCAATTTGACCTCACAACCTTTGTAAGATAATCAAATCAAATCAAATCAAATCAAATCAAATTTAATTGGCCACATGCGCTGAATACAACAGGTGCAGACATTACAGTGAAATGCTTACTTACAGCCCTTAACCAACAGTGCATTTATTTTAAATAAAAAAGTAAAATAAAACAACAACAAAAAAGTGTTGAGAAAAAAAGAGCAGAAGTAAAATAAAATAACAGTAGGGAGGCTATATATACAGGGGGGTACCAGTGCAGAGTCAATGTGCGGGGGCACCGGCTAGTTGAGGTAGTTGAAGTAATATGTACATGTGGGTAGAGTTAAAGTGACTATGCATAAATAATTAACAGTGTAGCAGCAGCGTAAAAAGATGGGGTGGGGGGGCAGTGCAAATAGTCCGGGTAGCCATGATTAGCTGTTCAGGAGTCTTATGGCTTTTGGGTAGAAGCTGTTAACAAGCCTTTTGGACCTAGAATTGGCGCTCCGGTACCGCTTGCTGTGCGGTAGCAGAGATAATTTTTTGAGGATCTGAGGACCCATGCCGAATCTTTTCAGTCTCCTGAGGGGGAATAGGCTTTGTCGTGCCCTCTTCACAACTGTCTTGGTGTGTTTGGACCATGATAGTTTGTTGGTGATGTGGACACCAAGGAACTTGAAGCTGTCAACCTGTTCCACTACAGCCCCGTCGATGAGAATGGGGGTGTGCTCAGTCCTCTTTTTTTTCCTGTAGGTCACAATCATCTCCTTTGTCTTGGTCACGTTGAGGGAGAGGTTGTTATCCTGGCACCACACGGCCAGGTCTCTGACCTCCTCCCTATAGGCTGTCTCATCGTTGTCGGTAATCAGGCCTACCACTGTTGTGTCGTCGGCAAACTTAATGATGGTGTTGGAGTCGTGCCTGGCCATGCAGTCATGGGTGAACAGGGAGTACAGGAGGGGACTGAGCACGCACCCCTGAGGGGCCCCTGTGTTGAGGATCAGTGTGGCAGATGTGTTGTTACCTACCCTTACCACCTGGGGGCGGCCCGTCAGGAAGTCCAGGATCCAGTTGCAGAGGGAGGTGTTTAGTCCCAGGATCCTTAGCTTAGTGATGAGCTTTGAGGGCACTATGGTGTTGAATGCTGAGCTGTAGTCAATTAATAGCATTCTCACGTAGGTGTTCCTCTTGTCCAGGTGGGAAAGGGCAGTGTGGAGTGCAATAGAGATTGCATCATCTGTGGATCTGTTGGGGCGGTATGCAAATTGGAGTGGGTCTAGGGTTTCTGGGATAATGGTGTTGATGTGAGCCATGACCAGCCTTTCAAAGCACTTCATGGCTACAGACGTCAGTGCTACGGGTCGGTAGTCATTTAGGCAGGTTATCTTAGTGTCCTTGGGCACGGGGACTATGGTGGTCTGCTTGAAACATGTTGGTATTACAGACTCAGTCAGGGACATGTTGAAAATGTCAGTGAAGACACTTGTCAGTTGGTCAGCACTTGTTCGGAGTACACGTCCTGGTAATCCGTCTGGCCCTGCGGCCTTGTGAATGTTGACCTGCTTAAAAGTCTTACTCACATTGGCTACGGAGAGCGTGATCACATAGTCATCCGGAACAGCTGGTGCTCTCATGCATGCTTCAGTGTTGCTTGCCTCGAAGCGAGCATAGAAGTGGTTTAGCTCGTCTGGTAGGCTTGTGTCACTGGGAAGCTCGCGGCTGTGCTTCCCTTTGTAGTCTGTAATAGTTTTCAAGCCCTGCCACATCCGACGAGCGTCAGAGCCGGTGTAGTACGATTCAATCTTAGTCCTGTATTGACTCTTTGCCTGTTTGATGGTTCGTCGGAGGATTTGGATTTCTTATAAGCGTCCGGGTTAGAGTCCCGCTCCTTGAAAGCGGCAGCTCTACCCTTTAGCTCAGTGCGGATGTTTCCTGTAATCCATGGCTTCTGGTTGGGGTATGTACGTACGGTCACTGTGGGGACGACATCATCGATGCACTTATTGATGAAGCCAGTGACTGATGTGGTGTACTCCTCAATGCTATCTGAAGAATCCCGGAACATGTTCCAGTCTGTGCTAGCAAAACAGTCCTGTAGCTTAGCATCTGCGTCATCTGACCACTTTTTTATTAACCGAGTCACTGGTGCTTCCTGCTTTAGTTTTTGCTTATAAGCAGGAATCAGGAGGATAGAGTTATGGTCAGATTTGCCAAATGGAGGGCGAGGGAGAGCTTTATATGCGTCTCTGTGTGTGGAATAAAGGTGGTCTAGAGTTTTTTTCCTCTGGTTGCACATTTAACATGCTAGTAGAAATTAGGTAGAACGGATTTAAGTTTCCCTGCATTAAAGTCGATAGCCCTTGGGAGTGTAGATAGTCAAAATAGGAGACTGGTGATGTGGTGTAAGGTTACTGGTGCTTTCCATGCCGTCCCTAGGATGGGTGCATCACTTGAGTGGGTTGAGTCACTGATGTGATCTTCCTGTCCGGTTTGTCGCTCCCTCGGGCTCGTGCAGTGGAGGAGATCTTCGTGGGCTATACTCAGCCTTGTCACAGGGTAGTAGGTTGGTGGTCTGTTGATATCCCTCTGGTGGTGTGGGGGCTGTGCTTTGGCAAAGTGAGTGGGGTTATATCCTGCCTGGTTGGCCCTGTCTGGGGGTATCGTCGGACAGGGCCACAGTGTCTCCCGACCCACCCGTTTCAGCCTCCAGTATCTATGCTGCAATAGTCTATGTGCCGGGGGGCTAGGGTCAGTCTGTTATATCTGGTGTTATTCTCCTGTCTTATCCATGTCCTGTGTGAATTTAAGTATGCTCCCTCTAATTCTCGCTTTCTCTCTCCCTCCCATCCTGGAGGACCTGAGCACTAGGACCATGCCTCAGGACTACCTGGCCTGATGACTCCTTGCTGTCCCCAGTCCACCTGGTCGTGCTGCTACTCCAGTTTCCACTCTTCTGCCTGCGGCTATGGAACCCTGACCTGTTCACCGGACGTGCTACCTTGTCCAACCTGCAGTTTTCAACTCTCTCTCTCTACCGCACCTGCTATTCCAACCTCTAAATGCCCGGCTATGAAAAGCCAAGTGACATTTACTCTGGATGTACTGACCTGTTGCAACCTCTACAACCACTGTGATTATTATTTGACCCTGCTGGTCATCTATGAACGTTTGAACATCTTGGAGAAAAGTCTGGCCTTAATGGCCTTGTACTGTTATAATCTCCACCCGGCACAGCCAGAAGGGGACTGGCCACCCCTCAGAGCCTGGTTCCTCTCTAGGTTTCTTCCTAGGTTTCTGCCTTTTTAGGGAGTTTTTCCTAGCCACCGTGCTTCTACATCTGCATTGCTTGCTGTTTGGGGTTTTAGGCTGGGTTTCTGTGTAGCACTTTGTGACATCTGCTGATGTAAAAAGGGCTTTATAAATAACATTTGATTGATTGATTGAGTACACTGGGAAGGGTCACAGACTGATGTCAATGGATAAGTGTTGGAGGAATGCACAAGACCAAATTAATTTCCCCCTGGTGGGATAATAAAGTTGATCTGAATCTGAGTCTGAGGAACTCCTGGATGAGAAAGGGCTTGTGTGCCTTATTGACGACTGAGGAAACCAGGATTGACCCAGTAAATGGGAATGAAGCTGCTCTGGCTCTTACTCTGATCTTGAGTTCATTGGCAGGCAGATGTATTTGGGAGGTATGGGAGGAATCTACAGGGGTTAGTGATCACTACCCATTCATGTGTACTGTATGAATGAGGGTGGGAGAAACAGCAGGAAATGGGTTGAGGAGATGGATACTTGAGAAAGCGGAATGGGATCAGTTTCAGGAGTTGAGTGAACAGGGGCTGTTGCAGGTGGATCTCAGTGCAGATATAGAAACAGTGAATGATGTAGTAAGAGGAGCAATAGTAGGGGCCTCAAGGCAGGTGATACCCATGGGTACAGGGGGGAGAAGGAGAAAGGCAGTTCCCTGGTGGACTGAAGAGTGCAGAGAAACTGTGAAGAGTAGGAATGGGGCTTTCAGAATGTTGAAAAGGTACCATTGCACCGGATACAGTATCAACAAGCACAATCAGCAGGTAGGAGGACCATTAGGACAGCTAAGAGGGAGTATTGGCGCTGGTTCTGTGGAAACATAGGCAGGACTACTACTGTGGGAGAGGTATCAAATCAAATCAAATTTGCTTCGTAGACAACAGGTGTAGACTAACAGTGAAATATATAAATAGTGACACAAGGAAAAAATACACAGTGAATAACGAATAAAAATAACATGGCTATATATAGGGAGTACAAAATAACATGGCTATATACAGGGAGTACCAGTACTGAGTCAATGTGCCGGGATAGATAACAGACAGTAGCAGCAGCCTAGGTTGTGTTTGTGTTTGTGTCTGTGTGTGTGTGTTGGGGTGTCAGTGTAAGCATGTGTGTTGGTAGAGTCCAGTGTGTGTGCATAGAGTCAGTGCAAGAGAGTTAGTGCAAAAAAAGGGTCAATGCAGGTAGTCCAGGTAGCCATTTGATTAGGTATTTAGCAGTCTTATTTAAAAGTCTTATGGCTTGGGGGTATAAGCTGTTCAGGGTCCTGTTGGTTCCAGACTTGGTGCATTGCACCTTCACGACTGTGTGCGTGTGAGTGGGCGCATGCACTGGTGGATTATGGGGCTGTGGGAAACCTGATGGACACGTGGCTGGCCCAAGGGTGGAGCGTTCCGTTACTCTCTCTGGACGAACGGCCGTTGGGGTCGGGCTGCATCACCCGGCGCACTGTCCCCGTGCGTGTCCGGGGGGGTACCAGTGGAGCGGGTCGAGAGCTTCAAGTTCCTCTATGTCCAAATCACTAAGGACTTCAAATGGTCCACTCACACGCACACAGTCGTGAAGGTGCAAGTGCATTGCACCAATCCTTACAAATGTCTTTACCATAAGGCCACTCCAACGTCATTTTAGAGAATTTGGCAGTACGTCCAACTGGCCTCACAACCGCAGACCACGTGTAACCATACCAGGACCTCCACATCCGGCATTTCATCTGCGGGATCGTTTGAGACCAGCCACCCGGACAGCTAATGAAAGTGTAGGTTTGCACAACCTAAGAATTTCTGCACAAACTGTCAGAAACCATCTAAGGGAAGCTAATCTGCATGCTAGTAGTCCTCACCAGGGTCTTGACCTGACTGAAGTTTGGCGTCATAACCGACTTCAGTGGGCAAATGCTCACCTTCGATGGCCACTGGCACGCTGGAGAAGTGTGCTCTTCACAGATGAATTCCGGTTTCAACTGTACAGGGCCGTATGGCGTTGTGTGGATAAGCGGTTTGCTGATGTAAACATTGTGAACAGAGTGCCCCATGGTGCCCCATGGTGGCTGTGTGGTTATGGTATGAGCAGGCATAAGCTACGGACAATGAACACAATTGCATTTTATCAATGGCAATTTGAATGCACAGAGATACCGTGACGAGATCCTGAGGCACATTGTCGTGCCATTCATCCGCCGCCATCACCTCATGTTTCAGCATGATGATGCATGGCCCCATCTCACAAGGATCTGTACACAATTCCTGGAAGCTGAAAATGTACCAGTTCTTCCATGGCTTACATACTCACCAGACATGTCACCCATTACGCATGTTTGGGATGCTCTGGATCGACGTGTACGACCACATGTTCCAGTTCCCGCCAATATCCAGCAACTTCGCACAGCCATTGAAAAGGTGTGGGACAATATTCTACAGGCCACAATCAACAGCCTGATCAACTCTATGCGAAGGAGATGTGTCGTGCTGCATGAGGCAAATGGTGGTCACACAAGATACTGACTGGTTTTCTGATCCACACCCCTACCTTTTTTTTAAAGGTATCTGTGACCAACAGATGCATATCTGTATTCCCAGTCATGTAAAATCCATAGATTAGGGCCTAATTTATTTATTTCAATTGACTGATTTCCTTATATGAACTGTAACTCAGTTAAGTCTTTGAAATTGTTGCATGCTTCGTTTATGATTTTGTTCAGTGTAAAATGGCTTTATAAATGACATTTTTTTATCAACCTACGTGACATCAAAAATGGTTGAGAAAGCAGTGATGATTACTAAAACTGTCGCGATGATTGTGAATTATTCTGAATGATCCATATTCTGAATGATCCATCCCCACTGATCAAAGGAATGTGATAAATCAGGCGAGATTGGGGCACTGGTAGTTAAGTGATCTCTCAAGTGTTCTATCATAACATTTACAATCCTTCATCACTTTCAGTCCAAATTAAGTGGTTGCTTTTGATGCCACTGAAATGTGATAGTAGTGACATTGTAGCTCTCAAACTATAAAACGTCATAATACAGCTATAAAATACTTCTTCCCTATGAAGGTCATGGGACCATGTGCCCGCCTACCTTTATTTCATTGGTCGATAAATATTCAGGAAGTAGGCCTACCGCAGCGGGATCCTATTGGATTGGTGTGAAACACAGAGTGAGAAAATAACCAATCACATCACTCATATCCTCAAGCGTCAAAAGTAGCTAGCTTGGTCCAGCCATTCTGTTGCTGTCTTTTCAACGTGAACAACGGCGTTTCCTCCTTATAATCGGAGCTTGTTCAAAGTAAGATACATCTATCACTATGGCTGCTTACAAGCTGGTGTTGATCCGCCACGGAGAGAGCAACTGGAACCAGGAGAATCGATTTTGTGGCTGGTTCGACGCCGATCTGAGCGAGACTGGAGAACGGGAGGCGAGGAGAGGAGGACAGGCCCTGAAAGGTGGATTCTTGTTCTATTTTATTTGACCAGCTAGTTACTTACATTGTAGGATACTATACCAGACACAACACATCAAATGTGTCTTCACTAATGCAACTGGCTTTGATTGTACATGTTCATCTCTTGTTTATTGAAAGGTCTGTGGCAGCAGCGACTACAGCAATTTCGAAGGCTGTGTGCCTGCACATTTGGCATTTTTTGCCGCTTGAAGGGATCTCAACTATCCTATTGATGATTTACAATAGAAATTGTAGTTGTGAAACTTGTTACCCAATACCAGCAACGTTACGTGATTACTCCATCGATTTGACATAGGATGAAGGTGTGTTTTTGGTGGTGTCTCCCCGTTGTCAATCACGCCCTCATTTTCACTTTGACCATGCCCCTTTCTAATGAGGAAGTTCGATTAAGTGCACTGGGCTATGAAGTAATACGTGAACGGGAAAAAGCGGTGAGGGAGGAGCGCCTCTCTCAAATCGAACAGTAATATTCGGTGCTCGGTTATGTTGTCAACAAGGCAGCATGATTAATTGGGAAGGCAGATAAAGCCTTTGTATCAAAAGCAATCACTTCTGCATGTGAAAACACAGAATCCTACTCATTACTCCACGTGCTGGTGGCCAGAACGGGGGCACATGGCTCACGCCCGGGACGCAGCCCGGTTCCAAATCGAATGCAATCAACGCTAACCCGGTTCACTCGGGGCATTAATAGAATCCTCTCATGCCCTCTATGGTTGGGCGCCTATGGTGGGGCTCCGCCTATTAGTTCAGCCCCCTTTCACTGTGGACAAATGAGCAACGGAGATCCGGTCTCTACCGCTTTTGACGTCACAGCTTTTCCAAAGGATGTGAACGTGCCGTTCTAGACGTGCTGCTTCGTACAATGAATGAAATCAAGCCTTTCTCAGTGTGTTGGTTAGGGAAATATCTGGTGTTTCTGACTGAATAGTCATATTTGGTTCAACTAAAGCTTTTAGTAACCTATGCTGTGTTTGCTGATGAATTTGAGAAGTGACGTTGCTTGCCTGAATGATGTATAAAGAGTCTATAGCAGTGTTCAAGTGTTGTGGGAGACCCATGGGGCGGCGCACAATTGGCCCAGCGTCGTCCAGGGTAGGGGAAGGAATGGCCGGCAGGGATGTAGCTCAGTTGGTAGAGCATGGCGTTTGCAACGCCAGGGTTGTGGGTTCGTTTCCCACGGGGGGCCAGTATGAAAAAATATTTTAAAAAATTATGTGCACTCACTAACTGTAAGTCGCTCTGGATAAGAGCGTCTGCTAAATGACTAAAATGTCAATGTTGTGCACTCCATTTACAGTAAACTCCACTCCTGGTCCTGTAGAACTAGTGCAAGCTTTTGTCCCAACCCAGAACTTGACCATTGGTTGATTTCCTAGTCTTACTCTATCCGTCCATCCATCCACCCACCTTACCACAAATCATCCTGAATCAAACCCGATCACATCCTTTCTCTTCTTCAGATGCCGGCTATGAGTTTGACGTGTGCTACACCTCAGTCCTGAAGAGGGCCATCCGCACTCTGTGGCTGTGTCTGGACAGCATTGACCAGATGTGGCTTCCCGTCCACCGGACCTGGCGCCTCAACGAACGCCACTACGGTGGCCTGACGGGGTTAAACAAGTCCGAGACTGCTGCCAAGCATGGAGAGGCTCAGGTGAAGATCTGGAGGCGGAGCTTTGATATACCTCCTCCCACCATGGACCCGGACCATGACTTCTACACCATCATCAGCAAGGTGAGGGACACACAGAGACACGCATTCACACACACATACACTCACTATTATGGGTGAGAATTTGCATGATTATATATGACATCAGACAACAACAGAATATACATCTTTCTTTAGGCAAGCTCACTCACATTGGGAAGAGCCTATAGTGGAAGTCTTGGCAGATTTAGATATTGTTGTTGACGATTGGGTTTCTCCCTGTACTAGTGTGTTTCTGAGGGCTACAGTAAAGCATGTCGCAAAGTATCACCATGTGTTTTCCCCAGTTCATTGATGGACCGGCCCCTTAACAGGAGGCATGATCAGAGTATGGGGACTCTGATTACATAGATGCCCAGCCAAGGCCGCCGTCATGGCAACCCACCAGTGTTCCGTCAGAGGGGCAGTACCAGAGACTATTATGGATTGTGTGTTCTGCTGAGGAGAGTGCTTTAGGTTATAATTGCTTCCCAAATGACACCCTATTCCCTATATAGTGCACTACTTTTGACCAGAGGCTCAGGTCACAAGTAATGCACAATATAAGGAAAAGGGTGCCATTTGGGATGTATCCAATGTGTCTGTGCCCTCTTTGTCTAGACCACCAGGTCCCATGGGAAGACCACAGGGCAGGGAGGGCCAAATCCATTCCTTAAGTGTTGCTGTTGTGTGCAGGATTTTGTTTCATCTTAGCACTTATTATTGAACTGTAATCATCGATTTGATTGAAGTAATGTTTGAGCTAAGGGGGAACAAAAAGCCTGCACACTCTGCGACTCTGAAGGACTGGAGTTGTCCATCCCTGGACTAGACTAGGGATTTCAGTTTTCATTCTCTCCCAAGGACGTTGCTATGATCAGCACTTGATATAATCTACAGGGACAGCGTTTCCTCAAGCATAGTGGTGGTTAATCCTCCTGACCATTTAAAACAAAAACAGCTGTTTTCTTCTGCCTCATCTGGTCATACACTACATGGCCAAGTGTCAGCTGAAGTGTTGTCAAGTTCGCTGCCATTGGACTCTGGAACAGTGGAAACACGTTCTCTGGAGTGATGAATCACGCTTCACCATCTGGCAGTCCGACGGACAAATCTGGGTTTGGTGGAATCCAGGAGAACACTACCTGCCCGACTGCATAGTGCCAACTGTACAGTTTGGTGGAGGAGGAATAATGGTCTGGGGCTGTTTTTTATGGTTTGGGCTAGGCCCCTTAGTTCCAGTGAAGGGAAATATTACAGCTACAGCATACAATGACATTCTAGACGATTCTGTTCTTCCAACTTTGTGGCAACAGTTTGGGGAAGGCCCTTTTCTGTTTCAGCATGACAATGCTCCCGTGCACAAAGCGAGGTCCATACAGAAATGGTTTGTCGAGATCGGTGTTGATTAACTTGACTGGCCTGCACAGAGCCCTGACCTCAACCCTATCGAACATCTTTTGGGTGAATTGGAACGCCGACTGCGAGCCAGGCCTAATCGCCCAACCTCACTAATGCTCTTGTGCTCTTGTGGCTGAATGGAAGCAAGTCCCCGCAGCAATGTTCCAAAATCTAGGGGAAAGCCTTCCCAGAAGAGTGGAGGCTGTTATAGCAGCAAAGGGGGAATCAACTCCATATTAATGCCCATGATTTTGGAATGAGATGTTCGACGAGCAGGTGTACATACAGTGAGGGGGAAAAAAGTATTTGATCCCCTGCTGATTTTGTACGTTTGCCCACTGACAAAGACATGATCAGTCTATAATTTTAATGGTAGGTTTATTTGAACAGTGAGAGACAGAATAACAAAAACAAAATCCAGAAAAACGCATGTCAAAAATGTTATAAATTGATTTGCATTTTAATGAGGGAAATAAGTATTTGACCCCCTCTCAATCAGAAAGATTTCTGGCTCCCAGGTGTCTTTTATACAGGTAACAAGCTGAGATTAGGAGCACACTCTTGAAGGGAGTGCTCCTAATCTCAGTTTGTTACCTGTATAAAAGACACCTGTCCACAGAAGCAATCAATCAATCAGATTCCAAACTCTCCACCATGGCCAAGACAAAGAGCTCTCCAAGGATGTCAGGGACAAGATTGTAGACCTACACAAGGCTGGAATGGGCTACAAGACCATCGCCAAGCAGCTTGGTGAGAAGGTGACAACAGTTGGTGCGATTATTCGCAAATGGAAGAAACACAAAAGACCTGTCAATCTCCCTCGGCCTGGGGCTCCATGCAAGATCTCACCTCGTGGAGTTGCAATGATCATGAGAATGGTGAGGAATCAGCCCAGAACTACGCGGGAGGATCTTGTCAATGATCTCAAGGCAGCTGGGACCATAGTCACCAAGAAAACAATTGGTAACACACTACGCCGTGAAGGACTGAAATCCTGCGGCGCCCGCAAGGTCCCCCTGCTCAAGAAAGCACATATACATGCCCGTCTGAAGTTTGCCAATGAACATCTGAATGATTCAGAGGAGAACTGGGTGAAAGTGTTGTGGTCAGATGAGACCAAAATGGAGCTCTTTGGCATCAACTCAACTCGCCGTGTATGGAGGAGGAGGAATGCTGCCTATGACCCCAAGAACACCATCCCCACCGTCAAACATGGAGGTGGAAACATTATGCTTTGGGGGTGTTTTTCTGCTGAGGGGACAGGACAACTTCACCGCATCAAAGGGACGATGGACGGGGCCATGTACCGTCAAATCTTGGGTGAGAACCTCCTTCCCTCATCCAGGGCATTGAAAATGGGTCGTGGATGGGTATTCCAGCATGACAATGACCCAAAACACACGGCCAAGGCAACAAAGGAGTGGCTCAAGAAGAAGCACATTAAGGTCCTGAAGTGGCCTAGCCAGTCTCCAGACCTTAATCCCATAGAAAATCTGTGGAGGGAGCTGAAGGTTCGAGTTGCCAAACGTCAGCCTCGAAACCTTAATGACTTGGAGAAGATCTGCAAAGAGGAGTGGGACAAAATCCCTCCTGAGATGTGTGCAAACCTGGTGGCCAACTACAAGAAACGTCTGACCTCTGTGATTGCCAACAAGGGTTTTGCCACTAAGTCGTGTTTTGCAGAGGGGTCAAATACTTATTTCCCTCATTAAAATGCAAATCAATTTATAACATTTTTGACATGCGTTTTTCTGGATTATTTTGTTGTTATTCTGTCTCTCACTGTTCAAATAAACCTACCATTAAAATTATAGACTGATCATTTCTTTGTCAGTGGGCAAACGTACAAAATCAGCAGGGGATCAAATACTTTTTTCCCTCACTGTACATTTATACATGCATACGTACATACAGTGCATTCCCGAAATTATTCACACCCCTTGACTTTTTCCACATTTTGTTAAATTACAGCCTTATTCTAACATTTATTAAATTGTTATTTTTCCTCATCAATCTACGCACAATACCCCATAATGACAAAGCAAAAACAGGTTTTTAGAAATGTTTGCAAATGTATTAAGTAAAACACTGAAATATCACATTTACATAAATATTCAGACCCTTTATTCAGTACTTTGTTGAAGTACCTTTGGCAGCGATTACAGCCTCGAGTCTTCTTGGGCATGAAGCTACAAGCTTGGCACACATGTATTTGGGGAGTTTCTCCCATTCTTCTCTGCAGATCCTCTTAAGCTCTGTATGTTCGATTGGGTTCAAGTCCGGGCTTTGGCTGGGCCACTCAAGGACATTCAGAGACTTGTCCCGAAGCCACTCCTGCATTGTCTTGGCTGTGTGCTTAGGGTTGTTGTCCTGTTGGAAGGTGAACCTTTGCCCCAGTCCAAGGTCCTGAGCGCTCTGGAGCAGGTTCTCATCAAGGATCTCTCTGTACTTTGCTCCGTTCATCTTTCTCTCGATCCTGCCAGGTTTCCTCCAGACATGACGCTTGGCATTCAGGCCAAAGATTTCAATCTTGGTTTCGTTAGACCAAAGAATCTTGTTTCTCATGGTCTGAGAGTCCTTTAGGTGGCTTTTGGCAAACTCCAAGCGGGCTGTCATGTGCCTTTTACTGAGGAGTGGCTTCGTCTGGCCACTATACCATAAAGGCCTGATTGGTGGAGTGCTGCAGACATGGTTGTGTCTGAAAGATTCTCCCATCTCCACAGAGGAACTCTGACAGAGTGACCATCGGGTTCTTGGTCACCTCCCTGACCAAGGCCCTTCTCCCCCGATTGCCCAGTTTTGCCGGGCGGCCAGCTCTAGGAAAAGTATTGGTGGTTCCAAACTTCTTCCATTTAAGAATGATGGAGGACACTGTGTTGTTGGGGAACTTCAATGCTGCAGAAATATTTTGATACCCTTCCCCAGATCAGTTTCTCGACACAATCCTGTCTCGGCGCTCTACGGACAATTCCTTCGACCTCATGGCTTGGTTTTTGCTCTGACATGCACTGTCAACTGTGGGACATCATATAAACAGGTGTGTGCCTTTCTAAATCATGTCCAATCAATTTAATTTACCACAGGTAGACTCCAATCAAGTTGTAGAAAGATCTCAAGGATGATCAGTGGAAACAGGATGCACCTGAGCTCAATTTCGAGTCTCCTAGCAAAGGGTCTGAATACTTATGTAAATAAGGTATTTCTGTCTTTATTTTTATAAATTTCTAAACACCTGTTTTCGCATTGTCATTATGGGGTATTGTGTGTAGATTGAAGAGGGGGAAAAAATAATTGTATCCATTTTAGAATAAGGCTGTAACGTAACAAAATGTGGAAAAAGTCAAGGGGTCTGAATACTTTCCGAATGCACTGTACATACATACGTACATATTTTAAAGGCCCAATGCAGCTGATTTTATCTCAATATCAAATAATTTCTGGGTAACAATTAAGTACCTTACTGTGATTGTTTTCATCAAAATGGTTAACCATGAATAAAAATAGCTTTTTAGCAAGAGCAATTTCTCAAGCAAGAATTTTGGTCTGAGTGGGGAGGGGAAAACTGAAAACTAGCTCTTATTGTCAGAGGTTTGGCACGCTGTTTCTTATTGGTCTATTAACTAATTTACCGCCTGGTGATGTCACCAGACAGACCAAAACTCTATCCCACCAAAACAAGCTGAAATTTCAGGCGGTCTTTTCAAACAGCTCTTATTATTATTATTATTATTATTATTATTATTATTATTATCATATTCACAGTGTCACAGTATTATTCCAACCTCGTAGTGTGGAAATAGTTTATTAGGTACACCCATCTAGTACCGGGTCGGACCCCCCTTTGCCTCCAGAACAGCCTGAATTATTCGGGGCATGGAAACGTTGCTCAATTGGTGTCAAGGAACCTAAAGTGTGCCAGGAAAACATTCCCCACACCATCGCCAACAGCCTGTACCGTTGACACCAGGTAGGATGGGGCCATGGACTATGCTTCTTACGCCAAATCCTGACTCTGCCATCAGCATGACGCAACAGGAACCGTGATTCGTCGCACCAGGCAATGTTTTTCCACTCCTCAATTGTCCAGTGTTGGTGATCGCGTACCCACTGGAGCCACTTCTTGTTGTTTTTAACTGATCGGAGTGGAATCCAATGTGGTCGTCTGCAGCAATAGCCCATCCGTGACAAGGACGACGAGTTGTACGTTCAGAGATGCCCTTCTGCACACCACTGTTGTACTGCGCCGGTATTTGCCTGTTTGTGGCCCGCCTGTTAGCTTGCACAATTCAACTGATTTCACCCACAGGACTGCCGCTGACTGAATGTTTTTTGTTTGTCGCACCATTCTTGGTAAACCCTAGACCCTGTGGTGCTTGAAAAGCCCAGGAGGCCGGCCGTTTCAGAGATCCTGGAACCGGCACGACTGGCACCGACAATGATACCATGCTCAAGGTCATTTGTTTTGCCCATTCTAACATTCAATTGAACAGTAGCTGAATGCTTCGATGCATTTATATAGCAAGCCATGGCCACGTGACTCACTGAGCAAACCATTTTCGTGAACGGGGCAATAAACTGGCCACGGAGTGTATATAAAACACCGCAAAATCATGTTTTTGACTGCACCGGGCTTTTAAAAAAATATTTGTATTCATGGTGCTGTTGTATAGCACAAGGTCTTTTGGTGTTGTTTCAACTCTGGTGAGTTAATGTATTGCATAGGAGTGCGATATAGGAGGGTAAAGTTCAAAGTTCAGCTGAGATCAGAATCAATTGGTGAAAGCGTCATTTGCACTGTCAGGGGTCGTGATGTGTTTAGAAATCTACAAGTAGGACTAGCAAAGATGTACAGAGGCATAGGCCTACTGGTCTTTATAGGCTAAACTTTTGGAAATATGCAACTAATTTGTCTGACTTCTTCAATGTAGAACCAAAAGTACTGGACAGTTGAAGGCGTTTGTGCCCCCTGATATATTTGGGGTGCATGACCCCCCTGGCTGCGTTTGTACAGGCAGCCCATTTCTGATATTTGTTTTACTAATTGGTCTTTTGACCAATTAGATCAGCTCTTCTGACAATAATTGGGCAAAAGATCAGAATTGGAGTGCCTGTGTAAACGCAGCCTATAGTGACAACTGCTGATGTAAAAAGGGCTTTATAAATGCAATTGATTGACTGAAAGCAATATGGTGGTATGAAGGTTTAGGCCCAGATTGCTGTTAAGCATTTTTCTGTTTGTTGACATACTACATTCTATCTCCCATCTTTTCTTTAGGACCGTCGTTATGGCGAACTGTCGGAGGAGCAGCTTCCATCCTGTGAGAGCCTGAAGGACACCATCGCCCGGGCACTGCCCTACTGGAACGACGAGATTGTGCCCCAGATCAAACAGGGCAAGAGGGTTCTCATCGCTGCCCATGGCAACAGCCTCAGGGGCATTGTCAAGCATCTCGAGGGTAAGTAGTAGGAACTGCGTAGAACCGTGATCTCTGACCGCTTGGCTCTGGAGAGCCACAGGGTGTGCAGGCTTTTGTTACAGCCTTTCACTAATACACCTATTTTGAAATCATCAACTGTTCATGGTCACAATTAGTCGGATCAGGTGTGTTAGTGCAATTGCTGGGCTGAAACAAAAGCCTGCACACACAGTTTCTCCCCAGGACTGGAATTGAAGTTTATACTGGTTGGTTTCTAGGAAGTACTGGTCTGTGGTACTATCGTTTTACTTCCTACACATTCTAATCTGTGTCCGTCTGTGTGCTCCTTCTTTTTTTGTATACACTTTCTTAGTTATGATTATTTAATTTACATGATTTATGTTGTCGTCATTGATCAACCATAACCCCTATGTCCTGCTCTGTGCTGCCCCCTGCAGGTATGTCTGAGGAAGCCATCATGGAGCTGAACCTGCCCACAGGCATCCCCATCCTGTACGAGCTGGACAAGAACCTGAAACCCGTCAAGCCCATGCAGTTCCTGGGGGACGAGGAGACCGTCAGGAAGGCTATGGAGGCAGTGGCAGCCCAGGGCAAAGTCAAGAAGTAGACAGCGAGAGGGGGCACTGTGCATCATGGTGTAGGAAGTTGCACTTATTTACAGATCTAGGATCAGATTTTATATTTGCCTCCCATCAATTCCTAACCTTCCCGAGCATGTAAAACTGACCTTAGATCAGTGTCTATGGGAAGCTTCATTCTACTCCATGTGGCACAGAGTAGGGGTAAAGGGATATGGGTTGTAGGAGGGGGGTCAGTAATACTACAGCTCTCAAAGGAGCTCACACACACACTGTACTTGCAGTCCAAGAAACATAAGCACTAAGAATGTGTGATCGTATTCAACTCTACTGTGCATAGAAAGTCTAACAAGTGGATTATAAAGTAACTAATAAGTTAGTATAGATTAATATTGACCAAGCCACTTCTATGGGGACCACTGACTACTCTATCAAATCACAGTCATCATTTCACTGGCTTATTATTGTGTCTCTGTAAAACAAATAAAACGTATGTTTCCCCTGTTTAACGATGGATCATTGAGATTACTAATGTGATGATAAAGCCTTATTTATTTGAAAATATTTAGTCTTGCGTTACCATACTTCCTAGTCTCGCTAGAAAATAGTATATATTTAGATGTTATAGAATAATATTTGCACTTGAAAACGTAAACAGTTCTACAGAAAAAAGGGTCCAGCTAGTTGTTTCACTATCATAGCAAATTAACAAACTGTTAAAACCACAAAATGGGAGAATAGGGGAAACGCAGTGGAAAATACAGAAAGATAGAATGAATATTTACACTAAACACAAGGTTGTACTGGTTCTTTTATTTTCCACTGTGCTCTGTCTGTGGTCGTACAATTCACTGTAAAACCACTCTATCAGTAGCTGGAAGACGGCTTCCATCTCCTTCGAGAGCTATGGCAGAGACTGAATACCTCTTTCTCCTCTGCCCCCTTGCCTTGGATGGTACTTCTGTGTGTCGTGTACATGTCTAGTACTGCTGTGTGACATCTTTCCATCCCATTTCCTGTGGAGTATTGTGGAACATGGCTACTGTTTTGTAAATGGGATCAAATGTTTGGTACCTGCAACGTCAGTCTGTTTCTGCTTTAGCCAGCATCGTTGGCATTCAGGGCTAAACATTCATAGATTGCACACAACAGACCAACTCTCTTCTTCCATGTCCAAGTGAGCTGATTCCATTCTATACATTACATTTTTATCTGCAACTTTGAGCATTCCACAACCTATGAATAGGCTTCATGGTGAAACACGCATTCTACTATAAGTTTACTTTTGCTACCCTGTATGCTGCTAGACCCCTCTAACTGGGGAAACTGCACTGTAGGTACCTGTTCCTATAGGATATGCCTGTTCTATCCTTCCCCACCCATTCCCAAGGCTTTCTCTTTTGACATTGTTGCCAATCTTGTGACTGAAAATAAGATCTTTGGAATAAATGTTATTAGGGTTCATTGCAATGCACTTTTTAAATATACAGCACTGAAGCCTGTGCTGAACCAATAAATGTATGGGGGTAAAAACATGGATTCGGTCAGTTTGTACCTTTTTATTATAGAAATCGAATGATTGGTTTAGTATGAATTTCACACATGGGGTTTATTCATTACCCCAAATCTGTTACAAAACGTTTTGCAACGAAAACAAGAGTTTCTATAGGACAAATTCAGGTGGGTCCCTCCCCGTTTCGCTCTGTTTGCTTCCGTTTGGTTCTTAAACGCTCAACGGTTTCCGTTGCAAGAGTTAATGAATACACCCCACGGTCGTGTTCAGCAGGACCATGTTTTTTTTTGTAACGTTCTGATAGAACTATGTTATTTAGAACAAGGAATCATGTATAGGCTCTATTCGACAACGTTTGGCTACTGAACGTGCACATTTAAGTGATAATGCCAGAAAAGCCGGTGTTTGGAGGATATATTGGCACGGGTGTTGTTGTCGAGAGCTGGCAAACCGTGCCAATATCTCCTCCAAACACTGGCTTCGAGGGCGTTATGACTTTTATACGGGTTACCAACATATTCAAATAATGATTTACATATTTTCATTAACTTTATTTTGATTAATTTATTCATACTACACTGAACAAAAATATAAACGCAACATAATGGTCCCATGTTTCATGAGCTGAAATAAAAAAATCCCAGACATTTTCCATATGCACAAAAACCTTATTTCTCTAAAATGTAGTGCAAAAATCTGTTTACATCCCTGTTAGTGAGCATTTTACCCTTTGTCAAGATAATTCATCCACCTGATAGGTGTGGCATATCAAGAAGCTGATTAAACAGCATCATCATTACACAGGTGTACCTTGTGCTGGAGACAATCAAATCAAATCAAATCAAATTGTATTGGTCACATGCGCCGAATACAACAGGTGCAGACATTACAGTGAAATGCTTACTTACAGCCCTTAACCAACAGTGCATTTATTTTAACAAAAAAAGTAAAAATAAAACAACAACAAAAAAAGTGTTGAGAAAAAAAGAGCAGAAGTAAAATAAAAGGCCACTCTAAAATGGCATGTGTACAATTGGCATGCTGAATGCAGGAATGCCCACCAGAGCTGTTTCCAGATAATTAAATGTTACTTTCTCTACCATTAGCCATTTTAGAGAATTTGGCAGTACGTCCAACTGGCCTCACAACCGCAGACCACGTGTAACCACACCAGCCTAGGACCTCCACATCCGGCTTCTTCACCTGCGGGATCGTCAGAGGGGGAGAGTGGGGTGCTGAGGAGTATTTCTGTTTGTAATAAAGCCCTTTTGTGGGGAAAAACGTATTTTGATTGGCTGGGCTTGGCTCCCCAGTGGGTGGGCCTGACTCCTAATGACTGCCCAGGCATGTGAAATCCATAGATTAGGGCCTAATGAATTTATTTCAATTGACTGATTTCCTTATATGAACTGTAACACAGCAAAATCTTTGAAATTGTTGCATGTTGGGTTTATATTTTTGTTCAGTATATTGCATCTTTCCACAAGATATAGTCCTGATATAGTTGCTACCCAAGCCGGCTGGTCGTTCGTTCTATCGGTTCGGTTGCCAGAGAAGCAACCCAGTCGTCAAGTCTTTTTGTTCTGTATCTATGGACGACCCAGTCGTTCGTTCGAAATGTTCCATTGCCATACTGGCTGGCAACATTTTTATCCCTTGCTACGGCTAATTTACAGTTGTGGTCAAAAATTTAGAGAATGACACAAATACAAATTTTCACAAAGTCTGCTGCCTCAGTTCTGATGATGGCAATTTGCATATACTCTAGAATGTCATGAAGAGTGATCAGATGAATTGCAATGAATTGCAAAGTCCCTCTTTGCCATGAAAATGAACTTAATCCCCAAAAAACATTTCCACTGCATTTCAGGCCTGCCACAAAAGGACTGACTGCCATAATGTCAGTGATTCTCTCGTTAACACAGGTGAGAGTGTTGACGAGGACAAGGCTGGAGATCACTCTGTCATGCTGATTGAGTTAGAATAACAGACTGGAAGCTTTAAAAGGAGGGTGGTGCTTGAAATCGTTGTTCTTCCTCTGTTAACATTTTACATTTGAGTCATTTAGCAGACGCTCTTATCCAGAGCGACTTACAGTTAGTGAGTGCATACATTTTTCATACTGGCCCCTCGTGTGAATCGAACCCACAATCCTGGCGTTGCAAGCGCCATGCTCTACCAACTGAGCTACACAGGACATGGTTAACCATGGTTACCTGCAAGGAAACACATGCTGTCATCATTGCTTTGCACAAAAAGGGCTTCACAGACAAGGATATTGCTGCTAGTAAGATTGCACCTAAATCAACCATTTATCGGATCATCAAGAACTTCAAGGAGAGAGGTTCAATTGTTGTGAAGAAGGCGTCAGGGCGCCCAAGAAAGTCCAGCAAGCGCCAGGACCGTCTCCTAAAGTTGATTCAGCTGCGGGATCAGGGCACCACCAGTGCAGAGCTTGCTCAGGAATGGCAGCAGGCAGGTGTGAGTGCATCTGCACGCACAGTGAGGCGAAGACTTTTGGAGGATGGCCTGGTGTCAAGAAGGGCAGCGAAGAAGCCACTTCTCTCCAGGAAAAACATCAGGGACAGACTGATATTCTGCAAAAGGTACAGGGATTGGACTGCTGAGGACTGGGGTAAAGTCATTTTCTCTGATGAATATCCTTTCCGATTGTTTGGGGCATCCGGAAAACACCTTGTCCGGAGATGACAAGGTGAGCGCTACCGTCAGTCCTGTGTCATGCCAACAGTAAAGCATCCTGAGACCATTCATGTGTGGGGTTGCTTCTCAGCCAAGGGAGTGGGGCTCACTCACAATTTTGCCTAAGAACACAGCCATGAATAAAGAATGGTATCAACACATCCTCCAAGAGCAACTTCTCCCAACCATCCAAGAACAGTTTGATGACGACCTATGCCTTTTCCAGTTGATGGAGCACCTTGCCATAAGGCAAAAGTGATAACTAAGTGGCTCGGGGAACAAAACATCAACATTTTGGGTCCATGGCCAGGAAACTCCCCAGACCTTAATCCCATTGAGAACTTGGTCAATCCTCAAGAGGCGGGTGGACAAAAAAAAAACACAAACTCCAAGCATTGATTATGCAAAAATGGGCTGCCATCATTCAGGATGTGGCCCAGAAGTTAATTGACAGCATGCCAGGGCTGATTGCAGAGGTCTTGAAAAAGAAGGGTCAACACTGCAAATATTGACTCTTTGCATAAACTTAATGTAATTGTCAATAAAAGCCTTTGACACTTATGGAATGCTTGTAATTACACTTCAGTATACCATAGTAACATCTGACAAAAATATATCATAACACTGAAGCAGCGAACTTTGTGAAGACCAATACTTGTGATATTCTCAAAACTTTTGACCACAGTGGCAGCCAGAATAACAAGTAGCTGTATTTGTTTAAGCTGTTTCCTAGTGACATTTATTTGGAAACATCCATAACAATGCGCGATTTCACCTGGCATATAAAATGTGCTCTCTCGTCAGGACACTGTTGGTCAGAGGAGCTAGCCAACAACACAGCTAACGCAAACACGTCAAACTAAAGCTGGAAAGACTGCAAACTAGCTGCACTTCGTTTCGGTTTACCTGTTTTCTATTGATATGTCATTGTATATATCCATAAATATGATGCTGATTCATGATTTCGACTGGCTGAGAAAAGCTGCCTGCCTGTCTGTGTCATCCGACCCCTGACACATGCTTTACTATGCAACAGCTGTAGATCAAATTAGAATATTGAAACAATGTTGCAAATGTCTGAGAAACAGACAGCAAGGTTTATACAAATCTCCGCTGTTGAAAATGAAATATTAGTCGAAAAGAAATGTGAGAATGTCTAGATGCTTTTTATAGTCGAGATCAAGTTTATAAATTGCCTTGCTGGGCTGATGAGACAGTGGATTGCGCAGTCAGATGGAACAGAGTAAATAGGCATTTTAATGTAATAGATTTCACCGGTGGTAACTTGTGGAATAGACACTGGCTGAAATGCGGTTTTAACCAATCAGCTTTCAGGATTAGACCCACCCGTTGTGTAAATCATCAAAAATGGTGGGTATCGTGATAACTACTGTGACTTTAATGCTGGAGGGAGAGTGAAAGCAAGGAAAATATCCTTATTGATAGTCTGATAGGGAAACAAATACATAGCGAAGTAAGTTTAAATGTTAACTTGTTCTGTCATAATGAGAAAAATACAATCTGGAGGTAAGAAACTAACTGCATTCCAGAAGATATAGCTAGCTAGCTACCTAACACTTAACGGTACCAAGGATTGTTTATAACTAACAAAAGATAGACCACTCCCTGTCCTTTCCAATGGGAGTACATTAATCATAGTGGGCAGAACAAGCAAGGAGGTGGGCAGAGCCAAACACGAGCTAGCGTGATCCTATTGGCGCGTTCTAGCTTGTATTTGCATATTTCCGTTAGGGACCGCCTACTCTTAAGTGCGCGTGTGCAATAACTCATTTGGAACTTGCACTCCTTTTAAACAACGCAATTTTTATAAACTTTGGCAAAGGGTAAAGTCTACTAAACTTAGCCCACTGTGTTCGAAACAGGTAGTTTTGGGAAAATAAAAACTGTATTGAGATCAAATGTTTCATCGATGAGAAATTTTGTACAAGGTCGGCCAAAATCAATCTCGCTACATCTTCTCCCACTGTTGGCCACTGTGTTTCCTCTCATCAGCATATATGGTGGTGAGTTGAAACGCCAACCGGATGCTTCAGATTTATACATCCGGTGAAACATCTGCCTCATGGTTCTATCTGTGACGGTACTGTGCAACAAACTAGCCACCAAGCTAACCATTGTAAGCTTGTCAAATCTTCTTGGCTTGTTATTGATAACTAGGTACTACTAGCTAGGTAAGTTAGTCATATCACATACAGATGTGTGAACTGCTAGCTAGGTTGAAACTAACCTAGCTAGCTAGATGTTCCTGGCAGAAGTTTAATTAACATTGGTAGCTATGTAACGTTACCTAGCTAGTGGAACGCTAGCTAGCTACACTAGATAGCTCTATAATACAAGTCGACAGAATATTTGGTTGCTAGAGTAGCAAGTTAACAACCCATAAATGTGTTGCGTTGTAGACAATTTTAAAAAATGCTTCAGAAAGAATCCAGGTAAGTTAACGAGTGAGACAAATTGCTTTGTAGACTTAATACATATCGACTTTCAGCAAACGGACAGGTTGACTCGTGTGTTATTGTCAATTAGGCTAACTAGCCAATTTACTATCAGTGGCCTAATTACTTTACAAGTATGTGAGCGAGACAGGTTTGACCGGTTTCGAGTACACTTAACCAGTGTATGATTGACAGGTGTAACCCATCTACTTTGCCAAGGCAAAGTTGTTATTTCCATTGTATGAATGATTTGTTGTATGCCATTTTCTTTGTTTTAATTGACTAAAACACAGCATAATGTTGAACCTGAGTTTTTTGGGGAATAACTTCTCGACTGACTTTTGTATTTTGTTACAGATCAATTACAGACTGCAATTACAGTACTGGTGAGTTTCAGATTTTGACAACTGATGAAACGACACCGAACTTATGACTCAGGGAGACTATCTATATACAAACACACACTGAAATATTGCTGTGAAACCCACATGATTTCACTACACACAGATGACTGTGGTGCCTTTTGCTTCATGTGACTGCCTCAGGCGTTGTCCCGTGCTAATGTAACGGAGTGAGATCGTACTTTATATAGAATGATGAGTAGCCTTAGGCAGTACCTCACCAATGCGGGTGAGAAAAATAGATTTTATGTGTTTGTATTGGGTTGTGGCTTGGAGCACTAACAGGCTATAGCATAATGCTTAATTGTTGTGTCGTTTGGTGTTATGCTTACCCTAACCCTTGAACTGTGTCAACCCTGGCTGATACTGCGTCAACCCTGGCTGATACTGCGTAGTGTGGGTGTGTCTGTTTCTTTGTCTCTCTGTCTGTGTCTCTCTCTGGCTGTGTGGATTTTGTTTGACCGCTCGGCACAATAACCATAATGAACTACATAGCTTACATGATTCTTCTGGGCTCAAACTCAAAACTATTACTCGCTTACTTGCCCTGTATTCTGAAAATACTTGATTTGAGTTATTATTAAACAATATATAGTATCTTTTTGCCCTTCGTAGAGTGGTGGGCCAAGAAATGCTTTCGGGCTGTTAACCTGCATTAATACAGTGTGCATTTTTCCTTTCAGCAAACTTGCGGTGCAATGGGAGGGGATGGTTCATCCATATGGTGCTGGGTTACATCTCTGCAGGTTTATTTGCTCACACCTGTATCTTTCTTCTTCCTGTGTTTGCAATCAAAGACGTCATCCCTCTGGGGTTGCCTAGTCCCAAACCCTCCCCGGCCGCCGCCTCCCTTCAGGTGACCCCCATGAAACCCTCTCAGCCCCCCGGATGCCTGTCCAACCCCAACACACACCCCCTGCCAAAGTGGGTGCTACCCTTGACCAGCCCCAAACTGGACCCAATGAGGGCCAAGCCCTCTCCTAGACCCCATCCTCACCCTCCCCAACTGCCAGGGGTGCACCACCGAGCCTCTGGGGGTGGGGGTGAAGCCAAGGATGGCCAGGCCAACTTAACAAACCCCCTCACCAGGAAGATACAGCCTTCCCACAGCCCTGTAACCCCTAACCCCTCTAGGAGTATGACCTTTGACCCACGGGGTGGTACGGGAACGGGCAACAGTGATGTTGGAAGCTCTAGACCTCTGTTTGCTGCCCAGCCCCTCCAGTCTAACCCCCAGTACACAGCAGGAGACGACAGGAAGGGCACAATGAGGAATGGTGGTCCACTGTCATACACCATGCACAGCCCTGTCACTCCACAGCAGGTAGATGGATAAAGATCGATTGATACTTTATTGATCCCGACACTTGGTGTCAGCAGCAGATTCGAACACATAGACTATAATCTTAGAATATTTGCATGAAAATCTGTCGCCAATTGAATGGAAACCCAGCTACTGATGTTGATATTGGCTCAGTTGGTAGAGCATGGTGCTTGCAACGCCAGGGTTGTGGGTTCGATTCCCACGGGGGACAAGTACGCAAACGTATGTACTCACTACTGTATGTCGCTCTGGATAAGAGTGTCTGCTAAATGACTAAAATGTTTGGTTCTGTTTGTCTTTCCACAGAGTGGTGGTTCCCTGGACCACAGAGGAACCACTCCCACTAGCAAACCGTTCACTTCAGGTACAAATTATACTTAACTAATGTAAAATAACGAGCACATCCTAGACCTCTTAGTTTAGATTGCTGAATAGATTACTGAACCTGTGTAAATGTAGTCTATAAACAAATCAATAGGGTAACCATCTCCATATTATGTTTCCATGTTGTTTTTATACAGTAACAATGCTGATGCAGACATGTATAGTAGTTTCCGATGCCGCCTCTGTCATTTGACTAATGACTTGTTGAGAGTAGTAAACCATGCAAATTCCGGCTAACTTAGCGTGAAATGCACCAGTTAGCTAATGGAAAAATAGATTTGTAATGTAGTGGGCCTCTGTTTATTGTAATGTGTGTTAAAGGACTTGAGAAAGTAGTTATCACAATTCACCCTCTGTTAATTTATTCATAGTGCCAAAAAATATAGTTTCCCCTCGTTTTATGAAAATGTCATTTTGACGTTTTCACATCTATTGAAGGGCCTTGAAAAACCCACTTACTCTCATTCTATAGTATTTTACTTTTTGAACTATTCTATTCATTGTGAATGTAGTTGTTGATGCTGTTTTCTCGCACCAGGAGGCACCACATCCCTGTCTCTGAAGAGACGCAGACAACCAGACTCGGAGGAGAGAAACGGTGGTGGAAGAGGAGAGGAAATGGCTAATAAGAGACTGCGTCCAGAGGATAATAGCCCAGGCACAGGCCCAGCCCCTATCTGTACCAGTCACCAACCCTATGGAACAGCCAGGTGAGAGGGGTAGACATTCAATTCAACACAACTTGATTTGTCCCCTTCGGGCAATTACTATTAGGGTTAACTTTGCATGAAGTGTTCTTGCTGAAAATTATTACAGAAAGACCGTCAATGGAGTAAGCCAGCCTTATATTTTGGGTTATGATAAGTTAGATAATTGTACTAACTAAGCTCATAAGGCATTTCTAAGTTATATTTGACAAGAATCAATGAATATATCATCAATTGAAATAACGATTGAAAAGCTGGAAGTCTTACTATTTGTGATATTTTATTGTCTATTTAGTCTGTAAAGTCTGGTTTGTGATGGCTAAACGCTCTGTTGTAAATACCCCCCCCCCCCCAGCCCATCCTACCTGAAGAAAGTCTTCATGAAAAACAGTCTGAACTCAGGTCCTATTCTGAGTTTGAAGGAGCGCCTCACCCCTAAGAAGACGGGAGGGATGGAGACTGTCCCTACCTCTCCACTCCCAACACCCAAGCCTGCGAGGCAGCTCTTTAACAACCAAGGACAAACGCCATGCAGGAACAGTGTGAGGGAGAATAGCAACCCTCAGTGTAGATACAGTGGAATGAATCACCAATCTGTTTATAGTGGTAGTAATCTCCAATCCGGCCACCCAGCGAACCTGCATGTCAAAAGTGCTAGTAGAGCAGAATGCAGCAGAGAGAAAGAGGGCAGAGCAAGAGCGCAAGAGAGTAGAGGAGAAGAACCGACAGGTCGCACCGACAGAAGAACCCCCAAACCCGTCTCGAGGTCTCAAAGCTCATACTCGAGCTGCTCTAGTTCTCTGCGCCGTCTCAGATTGGCACAGAACCGAAAAGTCACTCGCCCCCGGGGAACGTCGGCCTTGTTGGATGACCTGAATGACCTTTTCACCCCTGACCCCATAACCTCTAGCCTGTCTAGAGCAGTGATGACCTTTTCCCCCAGTCCCCAGAGAGGAGACGGGTCGCCCTCTGTACACAACAAGGTTCCTGTGTCTGGTGTGTCGGCTACAGTCTGTGGTGCTAGTAAAAGACTGTGGCCCACCTCTGTAACAAGTCCTAGAGAAATCCCCCAAATCTCCCCCTCGGAGGGAATCTCTGGCCCCAATATCTTTCCCTGTAAGGTAGCTGCAATGGACCCCTGTAAACTAGTCCTGGGCCCTAACATCTACTCTCCCTCTTTTTTAAGGCTGGAGTCGTGCGGGACTGACTTGACTAAATTAGAGACTGGCTCGTACAAGACCAGCATTTCCTCAGGGAAGCCCTCATCCCCTAAGGAGGAGTCTGTTACGATGGAGGATGTGGCGTCAGAACTGAAAACGAGTCCTGCTTTTCCCGCTGTTAGACTGTTTGCGGATGAGTCCGTTAAGACAGAGGCAGGACCCAGATCTCCTGGTATTCCTTTAGCAGGGTTGGAGTCACCTATGGATGAGCATGCCAACCTCAAGAATGAGTCCTCTGGCCTGAAAGCTATCCCCCTCTCAGCCTTTGCAAAGTCCTCATCCTTGTGTAAGGACGAGTTGTTTAACACAGAGACTACAGACTTCAAAGCCAGACTCAGCTCTCCCCTCCTCCCTTCTCCCACGTCACCCCTGGACCGAAAAGGAAAGGAGGGTGAAAAGAGGAAGGAAGGAGACCAGAAGAGTTTACCGTTACTTGCGGCAGGAGAAAAAAGAAGCAAGATAGACAATTCCCAGAAGAGTCTGACATTTCTGGAGGAGGACCCTCTGGATGTGGAGCTGGGCCTCGACCTGGGCCTAGAGTTGGAGCCATCCCAGGCCAGCAGCAGCAGCAGCAGTGAGGACGAGCTGCCATCCCTGCAGCAGATCCTGGACCGTACCACCCGGCCCCCAGACACCCCAGAGAAAGGAACCTTCACTGCACCCAGCACCCCCGTGGTGCCCCAACACCACAGCCAGCTGGTAATAGGCTACTTTCTTAGGGCAGTGTTACAAATGGTGTCCATATGGACCCTGGTCAAAAGTAATGCTCTACATGGGGAATAGGGTGCCATTTGGGACTCAAGATTATTTTTTTATTGTTTAAATGTGTATTTACTTATTGTAAATTTCCTAAATGTGCAGTGTAGCAACTAAAACCCGTCTGTCAGCAGCTACTTTCTAGCATGTAATTTGTTTGGTTGTATTTAGTTGTAACTTACAGTAGAAGGTTAGAAAAGTTCAAATTACTAATTTGAGGTGCCGTAAAATATTGGACTATAAATCCCAAGTCGTCACTAACAATGCTACAGTGTGTTACTCTAGTATGAACTCAGTCTAAAGTAGTTGATGACGTTCATGTGTTCTCTCTGGCAGCCTGTGTCGTCTAAAACAAAACCCACGAGTTACAGGAACAACCTGGATGAGATGCTGAAGGAAAAGGAGAGCATTCAAAGGTATTGCTTTATCATACGTGACTATCATAAGTGCTATTTTCTCCATGTGGGTCGAGGAGATGGCGAAATCATTGCATTGCTTTAACATTACAACGTGCCATTGTGACAAGACGCATTGCTATGAGACCTGACATGGTTCTGTCCTTGTTGTCCCCACCCCCCTTGTCTAAGGAGATGGAGAGGTCTCTGCATTGCTTAAACAAGACTTCTATGTCATATCGTATGAGTATTATGTCATAATAATGTGTGCTATGTCATGGTTATTCCCCCAAGGTCTAAGGAGCTGGAGACCAAGCTGCGTCTGTCCTGTGAGGAGAACCTGCTGAGACTGGCGGAGGAGGAGGAGGAGGATGAGAGCACAGAGAACATGGAGGCGGCCATCTCCCATCAGCAGAGGTAACTGCACAAACGCTTAACACACACCTAAATGCAGAGTAGGAGAGCACCGAGAACATAGAAGAGGCCATCTCACACAAACAAAAGTAACAACACAGGAGGATGATAGTTGGGAGACCACAGGGGAGGGGTGAAATTACCACATTCCCACATTGTTCTCCGCCCAGGGAGTTCCTGCAGCGTTTCTCTGTGGTGTCCAGCGCCATCCGGGACCTGCACCCCGGCGAAGCGATGTTCAGCCTGGACAACTTTGGCCGTCTCTTCAGCCAACACACACTGCAGTTGAGACACTGTAACGTCACCCCTCGGGACACCGCACAGAAAACACTACTCTGGTAAGACATTTTTGTGTGTGAGAGAGAGAGTGTGTGAACAGGCTGAAAGAGAGGCAGTTCAATGTTTAGTTCTAACCTCTCTTGTTCCCATCACCCTAATTTTTTTCTCTCTCCCTCCCCCTCGGTGTCTCGCAGGTCCACTCCAGACCAGTTCAGGTCCCATGTCAGTTCCGAGCTGATCCAGAGAGCCTACCGCTCCTCCCCCTGCCCTCCCCAGGTGGCCCGTTGGCTCTTCCAGGTACTATTCCACATCCCCTTTTACCTACCCCTAAGCTAGACAAATTGATTTGTTTGAATAATTGCTTGAATTAAATGTATTGATCAATGGATGGATCAGTCTTTCTCCTTTTGTCTCGCTAGCTCTCTCTCTCGTTTAATCAAATGAATATGGCTTATTAAAGAAAGACAGTCAAAAGTCTATCTTTCTCTCCCTCCTGTAGATGGTGTCAGTCCACTCAGACAAGCTGATCTGTCATCAGGTACTAAAGGCCCTCAAAGATATTGCCTGCTCCGCTGCTGAACACATGGTGCTGAATAAGAGTGAGCGCTTCGAGGTGTGGGTGCCCAGTGTTGGAGACGTGACCCTGGTCTTCATGAACATGGGTGTTCCCTTCGTCACCCTGTTCCCCCTGGAGACCCTACAACCCTCCTTCACAGAGGGAGACCTGCTGTAAGTGTGTGTCAATAAAAACTTTGTTCATAAAAATGTGATGATAGACTGATAACTACCTGTGTGTTTGTCTGTATAGAGAGGGCATCCAGATCCGCACAGAGAGCCTGCCCAGTAAGAAGGAGCTCAGCACTTTCCCTGAACACAACTTTGATAGCGTCATCAAGTACCTGTCTCAGTGTACATCGTTGTGCCCGCGGGCCTACAGTGACAGAGACCTGTTGTTACTCCTGTCGGTGGTGAGCAGAGTGGGCCTGGACACGCAGCTCGCCCTCCAGCCCACTGAGCTCCTCCGCTCCCTACTGCGCAACCTGATCAACAGCATCAGGGACTGGGACATCATGGTCAGTTTGTCAACCATTCATTTATTTCTTATGTGGTGCCTGCGTAGCCCAGTAGAAAGCAGTTATGTACAACCCCTGATGGTTGTGGGTTCAGTCCTGCCTCAGCCTTTCTAACTGAATCTCTAACTTGCCTGTGTCCACTGTCTAATTAAGATGAACACTTAAAGGGCAATTCCACCACTTTTCAACTTGGTATTCATTATTTCCAGCGCCATACATGTGAAAACGGCACATCTGTTTTTCTAGTAAAAAAAGATAGAGCTCGATTCAATCGGTATCGCTGAAGTTCAGCGAAACAGCGCGATCGAAATGTAAAGGTAATTTCCGATTGAGCTGACATCTGTATTGTTTACCGTGAATGCAGCCTCCGCTAACGTGGGAACGTTACTTTTTACATTTATATCGCGCTGTAGCGCAGCTCTTCAGCGCTACAGATTGAATTGAGCCCAAAGTAAAAAAGTTTCATATGATGTCGTCAAAAGTAAAAACATATATTAAAAACTCGTGGTGACACGGGGAGCAGGGATATGCCCTCCCTCTGGCTAGAAAGCATTGCGTTCTAAATAGAATACCCGGAATTGCATTCTAAATAGTAGGCATTTTGGGAATGCAAAAATAGAACGTTTTTATAGTATGTACAATTTTGAGTGCTTTAAATTCCAGGATGTCATACTCTTTTCGGCTTTTCATCTAGTAGAATTTGCTGCACACTATGGAGGAAGATAATTCTTTCCAGACCCACTTGTGATTGACAACAGCTGATAATCACAAGGTGTACCAAAATGAACGAATGGTGGGAATCAATGCAATTGCACATTTTGAAGCATTCTCAGAATGGATGAGCCTTGTATGTTGATATTAGTTGCTTACTGCTTTCGATTTCACTAAACAATACGTTGTAAGTAGTAGCCTATGTTGTATGATAAGTACACAGCATGTAGTTTTAGTAAGTAGTAGGCTGTTGTATGATAAGTACACAGCATGTAGTTTTAGTAAGTAGTAAGCTATGTTGTATGATAAGTACACAGCATGTAGTTTTAGTAAGTAGTAGGCAAGACAGATTTCTGACACTGCCATTTTTTTTGGTGAACTTTTCTTAGGACCTTTTTTTAACTGCTGAATGTAGACATGCACCATTTTCACATGTAGACACTGGCGATAATGAGTGAGGTTAAAGTGGTGGAGTTCCCCTCCTAAAGCAAGAAAATGTCACCATTTTTATGTATTATTTATTTCTCTCCTTTGCTAGGTAAACTTGTGTCACTTTTGTGTTTTTCTCCTGTCTGATGTTGGTCTATCTCCTGTTTTGTCCTGTAGCTGCCCAGGATCTGCATGTCGCTGATTAACCTGAGTGATGACCACCACAACCTGCGGTGGCTGGTCCAGCTACTGCCAGACAACATGCGCGGCAAGCAACTCAGGAGACACCTCAGTGTGTCGGCCATCTCCAAGCTGTTGAACAACCGATGCACTTACAGGCCCTCCAACACAGAGTTCCAGCTGTCAGACCTGCGTCAGTACCTCCCCCGCATGCGCCCCTCCTCACTCCTCCGGGGCCTGGCCACCTCCTTCAGGAGGAGTCACAACCCACACAGAGAGGGGGAAGAGGAGGAGGAAGAAGAGGACTGTGCCTCCCTGGACCAGCAGGTCAGCAAATAGTTATTCACCAGGGTATATAAGGGTCATTTTGCAACAAAACAAGTGTTTCTTATTGGACAAGTGCAGCAGCTAGTCCCGCCCCGCTTAGGTTTGTTTGCTTCCGTCTGGTTCCTAATGAGTACACCCCTGTTGTTGTCCATGTAAAGGAGTACTAGGGTTGTGTTCATTAGGTCACACAATGAACAGTAGTTTCAACTGAAATATTTGTTTATTGGACCAAAAGTCCAAGTAGTCCCTCCCTGATTCAGTCAGTTTACTTCTGTTTGGCGCCTAATGAACATGTTGTTTTCAGGCTTACTACCTCTGCTACAGCCTCCTGGCCCTGGCTAACGAAGCCACCAACTTTGAGTTCTTCCCTCCGGACCAGAAGAACCAGTTGTTGTTGCTGTGTGCTGAGCTGGAGAAACACATCAAGTGTGACATCAGGGAGAGTGAGAAGATGCTGTACAGGAGCAAGGTATGTGGTCATTCCTTCCATATAGACATTTCTATGGAACTGTAACCCATAAATCCATTAACGATATGATCTCTCTGGTTAAACTGCTCTTAACCCTCCCCCCTCTCCAGGTGAAGGACTTTGTAGCCAGGATCTACACCAAGTGGCAGGTGCTGGTCCAGAGAACCAGGCCTCTCCAGGTAGACCATAGAGAGATGTATAGCTACAGTACATAAAGACATAGCTAGAGGTGTTCTATATAGTGCTGAGAAGTACTGCCAGGGTAAACTATGGTATTGCAGAGTAAAACTGTTGTAATAATGTATGTTTTTTTCCCTCCGGGGTAGGCTGTAGTAGTTAATGTTTGATAGCAATGTGATGTGTTTTATAGTCATGTAATATGTCTGTTGCCTCCAGGGTAAACTGTATGACTACTGGCAGCCTCTGCCTGAGGACGCAGTGAGCAGCAGCCAGGAGAGCAAACACTCCCACAGGGAGAGAGAAGATGAGGAGACGGTCATGGAGTTGGAGGAAGAAGAGGGGAAAGTGGTGGAAGGAGAGGAGGAGAGGATTGCAGAAAAGGCTTTGGCCATGGAGGAAGACGAAGAGAAAGAGGAGAGGACACCAGAAAAATACTTTGCCAAGGAGATTCCAGAAGAGGAGGAGAAATTCCTAAAGATGGAGGAGGAGAGGATGGAACTAACGTTAGAGGAACCAAAGATGGAGGACATGGAGGAAGAACGGAGAGAAGTAAAAGCGGAGGAGAGAGTCACAGAAAAGAGGGAAGCAGCGGTGGAGGAGGGAAGGAAAGGACAGACTGAAGGAGAGACTGGGGAGAGAGGCAATTTAGAGGATTCAGAGATGAAGGAGAAACGTGTAGAACGAAGGGAGACTGAGAGAAGCCGAGAGAAGAAGACTGCAATGGAAGACAACCCGGCTGCATCCATATAGAATTATACCTGTCTAGACCAACTGTCATCTAGACTGTAGACTGACTGAATCCAAAATGGCAACCTACACTCGTGGTCAGAAGTTTTGAGAATGACACAAGTATTGGTCTTCACAAAGTTTGCTGCTTCAGTGTTTTTAGATATTTTTGTCAGATGTTACTATGGTATACTGAAGTATAATTACAAGCATTCCATAAGTGTCAAAGGCTTTTATTGACAATTACATTAAGTTTATGCAAAGAGTCAATATTTGCGGTGTTGACCCTTCTTTTTCAAGACCTCTGCAATCCGCTCTGGCATGCTGTCAATTAACTTCTGGGCCACACCCTGACAGATGGCAGCCCATTCTTGCATAATCAATGCTTGGAGTTTGTCAGAATTTGTGGGTTTTTGTTTGTCCACCCGCCTCTTGAGGATTGACCAAGTTCTCAATGGGATTAAGGTCTGGGGAGTTTCCTGGCCATGGACCCAAAATGTTGATGTTTTGTTCCCCGAGCCACTTAGTTATCACTTTTGCCTTATGGCAAGGTGCTCCATCATGCTGGAAAAGGCATTGTTCGTCACCAAACTGTTCTTGGATGGTTGGGGGAAGTTGCTCTCGGAGGATGTGTTGGTACCATTCTTTATTCATGGCTGTGTTCTTAGGCAAAATTGTGAGTGAGTCCACTCCCTTGGCTGAGAAGCAACCCCACACATGAATGGTCTCAGGATGCTTTACTGTTGGCATGACACAGGACTGCTGGTAGCGCTCACCTTGTCTTCTCCAGACAAGCTTTTTTCCAGATGTCCCAAACAATCAAAGGGGATTCATCAGAGAAAATGACTTTACCTGAGTCCTCAGCAGTCCAATCCCTGTACCTTTTGCAGAATATCAGTCTGTCCCTGATGTTATTCCTGGAGAGAAGTGGCTTCCTCACTGTCCTTCTTGACACCAGGCCATCCTACAAAAGTATCCGCCTCACTGTGCATGCAGATGCACTCACACCTGCCTGCTGCCATTCCTGAGCAAGCTCTGCACTGGAGGTGCCCCGATCCCGCAGCTGAATCAACTTTAGGAGACGGTCCTGGCGCTTGCTGAACTTTCTTGGGCGCCCTGAAGCCTTTTTCAAAACAATTGAACCTCTCCTTGAAGTTCTTGATGATCCAATAAAATGGTTGATTTAGGTGCAATCTTACTAGCAGCAATATCCTTGCCTGTGAAGCCCTTTTTGTGCAAAGCAATGATGCCGGCACGCGTTTCCTTGCAGGTAACCATGGTTAACAGAGGAAGAACAACGATTTCAAGCACCACCCTCCTTTTAAAGCTTCCAGTCTGTTATTCTAACTCAATCAGCATGACAGAGTGATCTCCAGCCTTGTCCTCGTCAACACTCTCACCTGTGTTAACGAGAGAATCACTGACATGATGGCAGCTGGTCCTTTTGTGGCAGGGCTGAAATGCAGTGGAAATGTGTTTTGGGGATTAAGTTCATTTTCATGGCAAAGAGGGACTTTGTAATTAATTGCAATTCATCTGATCACTCTTCATAACATTCTGGAGTATATGGAAATTGCCATCATAAAAACTGAGGCAGCAGACTTTGAAAATGAATGTGTCATTCTCAACTTTTGACCACGACTGTATTCCCTATTCACTCCTTTTGACCAGGTAATAGGGTGCCATTTGGAACGCAACCAAACTGTTTACGTGTTCGACTTTCTCAGGTACATCTCTTCAAGTGAAGAAACGTCACATTTTTCATGCACTTTGTTGCACAATGCAAAAGACAAATCCTATCCATAGAAACTGAGGCAGTTCTGTTAATTACTTTTACTATTTGCACTTGTTTTCTATTTTAGTTTGCACTCAATCGAGGTTATTTCTGTTTTTAGAACCCCTCTGGTTATTTTTGTCAGCCAACGTTAATACCATAGAATGACTACAAATAATGAATTCATTATATTTTTTTAATATGGCTTAAATAATTATTCAACCAAAGCCTTTTTAGTTGTACTTGAAGGGCAGGCTGACTGAACAAAAATATAAATGCAATGTGTAAAGTGTTGGTCCCATGTTTCATGAGCTGAAATAAAAGATCCCAGAAATGTTCCATACGTACAAAAAGCTTATTTCTCTCAAATGTTATGCACAAATGTGTTTACATCCCTGCTAGTGAGCATTTCTCCTTTGCCAAGATAATCCATCCACCTGACAGGTGTGGCATATCAAGAAGCTGATTAAACAGCATGACCATTACACAAGTGCACCTTGTGCTGGGGACAATAAAATGCCACTAAAACATGCAGTTGTCACAACACAATGCCACAGATGTCTCAAGTTTTGAGGGCTGACTGCAGGAATGTCCACCAGAGCTGCTGCCAGAGAATGTAATGTTAATATCTCTACCTTAAGCTGCCTCCAACATCATTTTAGAGAATTTGGCAGTACGTCCAACCAGCCTCACAACCGCAGACCACGTGTAGCACTAAATCACACAGTACTAATAGTAATTATACAGGGTAAATACAAACAATATATACATAAAGGGATACAAGTGGGCTTGGGAGGCCGCTTGGGCTTTCTGGATAGCCACTTGAGTGGCGGCTTGGAGGACCAGAACATTTACTTTGGTTCTGGGAGCCAGGATTGCCAATGGAGGGATTCTGAGGGGCACACTGGCTACTGGGGTTCTAAAATACCATTGAGGTTGTGGGTCTGTCCAGTATATGTAGACTTGACTTTGTGTCCTGTACTGCAGCTCCTGGGTCGGATCAGGTCATAAGGTGGCGAGGTAGCGGATGATGGGTGAATCCTGTAGGCCGCTGGGATCAATGGGACTGGGGGATTGTGGGATCTCATCCGTAGGATTGGTTTGATCTACCCCCACTCGGGGTGCGAACTGGTCTCTGGGGGGAGGGGGGTTATGTGATCATCTGGGGAGGCTGGGATGGCCTGGAATGAGGCTTGGAGGGCCTGGGCTGTGACAGTGTTGAAGATAGGCAGGCGGGTTCCTTTTTCTGTTAGGTCTGCTTCCCCCCTCCATTGTGTCAATAACTCCTGGGTTTCGGCACCATAAAAAAATTGCTCAAAGCAACTGGTAAGAGGTGGGAGGTAACACAACGGGTGCATCTGTAACACCACAAGGCGAGAGAGCGGGTAGCCTTTGACCAATTTATTAAATGCAGTGGCTGCGGTTCTGAATTGTCTGGAACCCGGAAGTTTTTGGATTAAAGAGATTTGTGATGGGCAGGATACGCTGCACGCTTCCCCCTCCGAGCCCTTTCAGCTCCTGCTCAGTGCTCACTCACTTTAACACTGCTGCCGCTTGATCAAACAAACTGTCTGTTGACAGTAATCAAAGTAAACATACGCAGACAGTCAAGCGATTTCATATTATGTCAGGAGGGGAATTAGCCTACATGCTGCTATATATACACGCAGTCCCGTGTAGCTCAGTTGGTAGAGTATGGCGCGTGTAACGCCAGGGTTGTGGGTTCGATTTCCACGGGGGACCAGTATGAAAATGTATGCACTTGTTGGTGAACACATAATTGGAGAGGAAGTACAAAACCAACGACGCTAGACAGAGAGGAATTTGCTTAAGCAAAAGGCAGTTTATTAAAACAGAGATAGCTGGTACTGCTCAAGCTACATGCATGGACCCAACCAATTGCCTCTTAAGGAGACAGTTGAGAAAGGATAATAAACAGAGTTTACAGCATTACTTTATACAATGTAACATAAAGGAAGGGGTCCTTCTTCTAGTCCCTTGATTGGTTCCCGAGGCGTAGGAGGCGGGTCTGCTCTGTCCAGAGCAGAAGCCCCATTGGTGCACGGCAGAGTCCTCTGCCCTTGGCACCCGACCAGTAGACAGGGGAGTGGAGAATGAGTGTGCGTCCACAGTGAAATGTCTGTGTGTGTCAAAGAACTCGTGAGGCATGAGAATGAGTGTGTGTGAAAGTGAAATATTGATGTGTGTCAAGGGAAAGTGGTGGGGAGTATCTGGTGGTTTATGGCCGGAGAGGGGGTGTTGTCCTATTATCGCATTCCTAGGCCAGATTAGGCCATCTGGTGTTCTGTTCTTTGTTCGCTACTAAAATGTTATGCACAGACAACTAACACACTGTTAGTATCAGACACATGACACAGAACATTTATTGCAAACAAGCTCCTAACACAATTTGTCTTGCACAACCTCTTGCTCAGATCAATCTATAACATTTTATATTTACTACGACAAATCCCCCTCTTCACGTCTTCTAGACGTGATCCATTAATTATGTTGGCATTAAGCATAGTTGAATCAGTCTTAAAAGAAAAACAATAATGCAGGAAAGAAAACAAAACATGATAACGCATAATGCAATGGTAAAAAACATTCAACCATCCCCCTCTAGCATACTAATTATATGGCTAGTTAATTAAACAATGTTAGTCCCCCTCTAGTAAGTGACTACAACAATCAGAGTTAATCTTCGAAATCGCTAACCTCCAATTGTCGCTGTTCAGGTTTGTAATAATGACAGGCCCATCCACCCCCAGGGACAACACCATACAGACATTCAGGATTCCCAAAAGGACAATCGAGAGGTCCACCTTTAACATTACATAAGGGAGGATAGTCACCTTCAAAATCATCCAGTTCCAAATCATTATTTCCCAAAAGCGGATACATCTGGGCTTGGTCATTGTGAATTGGTTCAATAGCAGTGGTTATTATACGGTTAATCAAAGTGCGGGCACAGGGAATACAACAACATCCACACAATGTAAGAATTGATAGAAAAACAGCAATAGAAATCAATACAGATGAAATAAGGGTTTTATATTTACCAAAAACATCCATCCAGGAATCCCACATAGAGGTATCAACCCCAGAATGATCTTTCATTTTACCATTAAGAGTTCAAACCTTCCAAAGCAATTGTCAAACTTCCATCTGCAGCAGTATTGTAAATTGTTACCAGTCATCAAAGAACTTCAAACCATAAAACACAGGATTAATAAAACACAAAACATAAGACTATTAAAACATAAAACACAAACAGAGAAGTATATTCTGGCCCCCTTTAGACACCCTCTAGTGTCACTCCACCAAGCCTGGTAGGTCATAT